AGTATAACGGTATAGTGGACTACTGGCCAATGTCATACTGTCTACAGTGGGGGGCCGCGCGCTTTTGTTAGCCGTCGTCGGGGGTGGCGGGGCGGTTATGCCGCGGAGTCATGCCGAGGCGGTCCGTGGCACGTTGGCCGCGGCGGTGGGTATGCCGGCGGTAGTGAGGGACAATTAGGTAAAGGGACGATAAAATAATATGTTTTTTTTTATTTTTTGAACACTTGGATTTGTTCTTTTGGTTGGCGATTTATAAACGTATAGACCTTTATGGCGCAAAATTTAGTAGGAGGTATATTATATAAATACTATATTTAACCTTAAAAACTCTTAACATTTATTCGAGTGTCCGTTTTTTCACGGAATTAGACACTGGTTTGTCAGTCTTTCGCGAGCGCTCAACATTATTTGTCGCCCGACTTGAAGGTGACAAGATGTCAGGATGGCCCGTAAGATGCGAATATGATGGTGTTGTGACATCTACTTCCGGGGCGCCAGGACGGTTATCGTTTCGAAACTGCCCTGCAATTTTCACAAGAGTTTCATCAGTCATAGAGCCGACCAATTGCGTCGATGACTGGCCAGCCAGCACCTTTTTGACATCAAAGACATCCGCAAGTGTAGTGACCACGACTTGGCCGCTGTCCCGTTCGGAAACAATTTCCCCAAAAGTATGCACTTTTCGAAAGGAGACTTGTTCTGAAGCTCGTCTGCACAGTTCGAGGCTCTTTTTCTGTGCGTCAATGTCTTCTTGCAACCGCGTCTTCTCCAAAATCTGCTCAGGCCGTTCGTGGCGTGTTGTGTTGAGGCGTTCTTGAAGGCGACCAATAGTTTCGGCTATCCTGTCCCGGCTTTCACTCAATGCTCGGAATGTCATCTGCTGTGCTTCAATGTCACCATCGGAAACGTCGCCGACACCGCCAGACATGCGCATAGGGGGATCTTGATGTTGCAAGAATTCAAGATGTGATTCGGCATCTTCACAAATGCGAATGCACTGTTTGATCACGTCCTTTTCGTCCTCCAGCTCGGCTTCTGAAGAAGTCGAACTGTTTATACTCGTACGCTGTGGTCGATCGTGGCTGATTTCCTCCTCAATACGCTGAAGGTGGACATGTAGATCGTAAACAGTATTCTTGATCATCTCGTGGAAGTCATTGAGAACTTCACGCGTGATTTGAGAAGTGTTTCTAAACGGTGTCAGCATTGTTTCGCCCCGGCTCAACATAGAAGAAGAATGCCTGACTGACATTGTGATAGTTCCAAGAGCAATATTAATCGTTGCTTTGTAGCGTGCCAAGCTGTCCATAAATGTATTTATATTGCCTCTCATGAACTCCATCTTCATCCAGTCTCGAAACCCCGTCGTTGGCTTTGCGCTGAATTTTTGCATGGCTGCTTCGAAATCGCTGCACATGGTGCCGCATCGTTTGACAGGACCTTCGAGGAGCGTCCACATAGAAGTATCCAAAACGTCGACAGCTGCGCCTAGGCTCTTCAAAATCTTATTGAGGTCGTCTAGCTCGTTATAAAGCTGGCGCAACATCTTGTCACGTTCTTTGTATCGGCTCACAGTACCACAAAGAACGTTTGTTGCTTGGGCCGCAGCCGTGATCATGGCCAATGCCGAGGCGGTAATGCTTAATGGATCCATTCCGGAAAGCGAAGATGAAGCGGTTAAGAGAAAGCGAAAATAAAATATGAGCACAAAATATAAAGCGTGTTCTAAAATACGTTTCACTTTTAAGGCTCACTTGATGTGTTGTGTTTGATTCTGAATTAAAGACGTCGGTGCCTGATGATGAGCGGGGTCAAACGGAGAGCCCCGCCATTCATTATGTAAAATAACAGTGACGCCATATAAGCACGGTCTGCCAATGGGACTTGTCACGGGAACTATCAGGCAACAATGACAAAGGGGCCCCACTCATTCAAGGGCTAGATGGATAAAACCTAGAAGTCAGGCAATTATGGCTTCAAGCGAATATTACACAAAACAGCCACAGTTGCCTAACCCTCTAACCCCGCTCTGTTCTGATTTGAAGTTTATTCCGCCCGGAAGCACCCGCACGACACGCCATGGATTCAAAGACAATGCTGTTCTGTCATTCAAATAAACCCACAGATGGACCTTGCACACATATTGTATAAACTTCCCGTATGATTGCTAGTCATACACAATCTGCTCTGGGCCTATTGCATTTGATGTGGAATCCGGAAACCAACCTTATCGGAACGCCTATGTCGAAGTATATCTTTTTCATTAATGGCGCTTCCTCTTCATCTTCGGTAAGATGCACTTTACTTCCCGAAGTCAAATAATCTGTTAGTTCGCCGTACTGTGCAGAGAGGGGCGTTCAAAGAACGGAACCTCGTGTCGGGGTCACCTGTAATAAGGCTACGATGTCTGGAACATCGTCTTCTGTTACCATGCTAGATATGTAGACCGACTATTTTCTCCTCGGTAGGTCGTGCTATCCAGACAAAGATGATGATGCCCTGTTGCATTGTAATCCACGTAGCCAAAGCCTGGCTGTCCGTGTGCAGGTATGTGTTGTTGCCGTCCTGTGCTACGAGAACTCACTCCAGAAATTATCGCCATTTTCGGATCCGATGAGCGTCCATATTTGGCCTCTCCCCTCTCTCGCCCGTCAGCTCTTCGGTTCGGATCACATGTAGTAGCTGGCAGTCGTCTATTTCAAGGCATTTTTTGGAACACGTTGCCTGGATATGGAGATTGCTTGTCGAGGACGTTCAATGGGCTGTCTGTTGGCTTATCCTCAGAAATTTGTTGACATACAGCGTGCCAAGGCATGCTGGTGAGCGACTCTTGTGTCTCTAGTCGTGACGGGCTCCTCTGTACCGAGACCTTGGTCTTTTTGCTCACACTGGCAAGTGTACATAGATGCTCTATCAGCCGCGGACCGTATCAACCGAGACCGTGTTGCCCAGTCGTCATAATAGGGACGCCGAGTCCGTTCTTGGCTGCCTCAGGTGCCTCTTCATGGCTTGGCAAGAAAGCTTCGACAAATTCCGACGTCGGGTCTGTGATCGGCGGTTCACTCTGCTCCAGAAGTGACAGGCAAGCCTCGTTCGTGCGGAGTCCCCGTGTCTTAACAACGTTTTAACTCTCCTGTTGCTGTTGTAGCAGCACCCGTTCGCGGAGCTCTTCGAGCGTGGAAGCGTGAAAAGCAGCATCCTCGGACGGCTGTTTTGGACGCTCGCATAAAAGGGGATCAACGATGGCGGATACATCACTAAGAGCCGTATCGATTTTGGAGGCGTTTTACGGCCTATTGACAGTGGCAAGTTTCAAAAGATAGCGATAGCAGAGTTTCTTTACAGTCTGGTACAGACCCTGTATATCGTCTTACGAGAGGTGGGCTGGCTGGTCTAAAAGATCCCTGCCTGGACAACATTGATCCACCGCCTCGTACAATAGAAGACTCCTGTTGACGTTTTAAAACTCGTCGAATTTACCCCTACAATAAGTCTCTGAAGTACGTGGCAATCTGCTTCCCCAGTCACTGTACACGTCCGTCGGCCATTGCGTCTCCGCAGTACATGCGAAGCCACTCCCCTGGGCTACACTATCTTGTTGTCGCCCTACATACAGTTGATATAACGTTTTCCATCCTCTGGATCTGGGAGAGAGGACGTGAACCCATAAATACGATGGACTTCCTCTTCAAAGTTTGTTTTCCGTTGACGACATTCAGAGGTGGTGAGGTGGTGAGTTAGTAAAGTGGTGATAGTACATTTTAACTGCATACAACACTCAACAGGAAGGCCACCACTAAAGGTGATCCAGAAAATACCAGCTGTTCTCCAGTCTAACCTCCGTTTATTATTTCGATCTTATGTATTAAATCCGTATAGACAGTGAAGGCAAAAATAAAGCTCTCAAATAGAACCGCAGAGTGACAAACCTAAAGTTACGATGCCCAGCTTAAAGAATAGTTTTAACTGAAACCTTCCTAAAAAAAGGAAATAAATAAAAAGTTAAAAAGATTAAAATAACTTTATATTAAAAAAATTAAAGATAAGTTAATAAAAGTCCTTATCGAGTTATCGAGTCCTTCTATTTGTAAGTGAATTTATCTTATAAGAAATAGGTGGGGAGTTCTAGCCTTGGTCACAGATTTGTTTCGTCAGTTTATTAGTAAGAACTGAGTTGACAGAGTAGGTATACCACACCGTTTCACTAGTGTCGGAATCGTTGATAAGTTCGGAGACCGGTAGGCGAATGTTTGACGTAAATTACGGGGATTATTCTTTCTTTTTATAGTTGACTCTTTTCTTTACTGTCGGATATAAGTTTATTTAGTGACTTTAATAAAATCGATCTATTGTAATTCTGTCCCTTACGCTTCGTCGTCAAGTACGGTGAGACGATTGTATCCGCCTTTGACGACTTCCGTGTCCACAATGAAAACAGCAACCAACGTCGCTGGTTTCTCTTGGCTGTTGTTCTCTCCAATCGTATGATGGCAGCCCGGTTGTTCGATGAAACCCTCCCCTACCTGGTAGACTTTGGGTGGGTTCCCATTCATACCACTCAACACCTCGCCCTCGGTTACTGTTGCCACAACTGTCGCGCCGGCGTGCCGGTGAGGGGGTGTGAACGCACCCGGGGCAAAGTGAACTTCAAGCCCGACAATCGATTTCCCAGGTGCATTCTTGAGCTCGTAGTCGTAGAGCACCTTAACGGTCTCTCGGGGCCGAGCTCTGTCATGGTACACAGTCAGCATTCCTTCGGGTTAGAATCACTCTTGAATGACGTACTGTGTTTCGCGGGATTGTGCAGCCATTGTGCTAGAGTGCTAGAGGGTATTACGAGTTTAACGTAGTTTTAGCCGTAGGAGTGGCATTCAGGGTCCAGCCGATGCTCAAAGGAGCAATGCAATCCATGTGTATTTATAGCTATACTTCTCTGAGGAGCGGGATATTCGAACATTATGCCGCATACGGCACATTGAGCTTTCGGGTATCCGCGCTCGGTGTCCCGGGTATCCCCTCTCGGCGTCCCGGGTATCCCCACTTTTCTCTAGTCATCAACCGCCCCGAGCTGACGTTGGATGTTGGTTATGCCCAACTTAATGCACGCAGTGGTAACAAAGACACAAGCTGCGAGGTGGACATAAATTCATGACGCCTTTGTCTCTTCGGCGTCCGCTGTCGACAGCAATCATCGGTGCCATATTCTATATTCTAAATATTACACACGACACTAGATCACTACCCAGTCACAGTCGAATAATCCCCCGAAAAAAAGATGAAAGCCGTTCAAATCCTGGGCGACGCGTCGTCCCCCAAAATTGTGACCACTGATTCAATTGCAATCCCTAGCCTCAAAGGCGCCGAAATTCTCATTCGCGTCCTTGCTTCTGGCGTCACCGGCGACGAAGTGCTGTGGCCCGAAGTCTACGAAACTACCTCACGCATACCGGGACATGACGTATCCGGAGTCATCGCAGCTTTCGGCCCTCACTATAACGGTCCCCTTGCGGTCGGCCAAGACGTAGTTGCGCTCCTCGCAGCCGATCGCGGCCAGGGCCAGGCTGAATACACTATCTGTCTGGCAGACGAAGTTGCCCTTAAGCCGGACTCCATAACGCACGAAGAAGCCGCTGCGCTGCCTATCCCTGTCCTCACGGCCTGGCAGGCCGTTGTGGACCATGGGAAGCTTACTGCTGGCACTACGGGCATGCGGATCCTTATCACAGGGGCATCTGGTGCCGTCGGGATGCTAGCTGTGCAATTTGCGATAAGACTCGCCGACGCCAATGTGATTGCCCTCGCGTCGTCTCGGAACCATCGTACACTCAAGCAACTTGGCGTACAGGATGTGGATTTGCACGACTACAACACACCAGGCTGGGAAGCGAATATCAAAGACGTGGACGTGGTCTTTGACACAGTCGGCGGCGATGTCTTGAGAAAGACCTGGGAAACTGTCAAGAGCGATGGGATCATCATCACAGTCGGTGATCCAGCGCCGGCATGGGCATTTGGGGGAGGCAAAGCTCCTGAATCTGCGGACTACCCTGACGTACGATACATGCATTTCATTGTCAGCCCAGATTCGCACACGCTGGCCCGAGCTTTGGAAATGATCGGCGACGGCTCGATCAAGCCACTGGAAGTGGAGTCGATTCCTGTTGAGAAGGCCGACCAGGCTTGGGAGCGAGCGAGACAGAGAGGACGCAGCAAGAAGATTGTCATTACTTTTTGAGGATAAGGGAGAGACTCCTATAACATAGAGAGAGAAGAAGGTCGAAAAAATCATAACTTTTCATAGAGCTCAGGGCGTCATTATTCAATCCTTATAAAAATGGAAACCATAACAAGATTTATAAATCTCATGGCGGATTATTTGTCTCCAACAAGAAGTTTTGACCTGATTCGCCCGAGTTGTACCAGCCACAAAAATCCTCCATCGAGCCGAGGGAGGCAAACAGCTCGATGTCGCTCGCCGCCACATATGCTTCAACCTCTGAAATCCCTTGGCCTTGTTCGCTTGAAGGAGTTTGAACTTGGCTGGGTCTTGGTACATCGGCAGACTTGGCTGCCTTGGACCGAAGCCCAAGGACATGTCGAGCAATAGTCTGTATCTCCTGCACGCTCGTTTCGATTCTGGGCCAAAGCTCGCCCAGCATCTTGAGGCACCCAATCGTCATGCGAATCTGGTCGCGAGCAACGGCAAGCTCCTTTCCCTCGAGCAGAAATGTGCACGCGGACAGCAGCGCCAGGGTGCCTTCACTGACCATGCAAGTGGTGAAGGGGCTGTGGCGGAAGTGCTCCGTGGGTAGCGCTAAGAGGCGGATCTGCGCTTCGATTGATTTCCGGACGCGCACAGTGTGTACGTTGATGAGCTCCGGCGATGATGTTTCCCGAGGTGGATGTCGGGCACAGCTCGAGATCCACTCCACCGGGTTGAACTTGAGGTCGGACAACGGCCTGTGGAGGCCGATGGCTGCGCTAGAAAGGGTCAACTTTAGTCTTTGCAAGGTGTTGTAGCAGTATGTAGTCGGAAGCTTACACATGAATTAACAAGTACGCTTGAAACATGAGTTCGTCGATTTCGCCCGTCTTGCTCATAACCTGCTTGCGGCCGCTCGGAAGCAAAAGAAGCCATGCATTGATGACAGAGTCAGCGGCTTGGAGAATGTGTAGGGACTCTTCACTTGCAGCAACTTTCGGGGCCGTCGATATTGCCAATGCCGAACATCGTACTGCGCCGATGAGATAGGCAAAGGACGAGAACGAAGTCGATTCGGGCGCTAATTCGCGGCAGTCGAAATCATGCAGCGTCTGGGGCTCCGGAATTTGCTACAGATACGCATCATTTAGATTTTTTAGTTAATCAGCAATAAAAACGCGACTGTGCGTCGCTGCTGGCCGGAGTACGGAGTACTACTCACCCCCTTTTCGTAGTCCGCCTCTTCGCATGGCAAGTCAACCGTGGCCTCGACATCCACAGTTACAAAATTCGCGGCCCCGAGTGTCCCTGCATAAAAAGCATCGACAATGTAGAGCATCCACCATGTCCGCCTCCAGCACTCCGTCAACACCGCATCCTGGGCTCCGTACTTTGCGGCAAAGTCCTGACGAAACATTTGCAAATCAAGACCGAGCTGAACAGCAGCATCCATCTCCCTCTTCGATTCGTCCTTGTAGCTGCTCCAGAACAATGCTATCGAATACAATACGCGACACTGGACCAAGATGGGATCTGTTGGCGCAGCCTCTGCAAAACAAGCGTCGACATGCAATCGAAGAGCGGCAGACCACTCTCGCGTGCTGTAAATGTGGCCAATGAAACGCAAGATGGCGATGAGAGGTCTCAGGTTCAGTTGTATACTTGGGTCCCGGTGAATTCGCATCAAGTGTTTCAGCGGCAACGCAACGGGGTGGAATTTGTGAAAGTTCTCGTAGTACGACGTGATGAAAGGGTCACCCGCGATATCGTTGCCAACGTCTACCTGAAGTGTAGCTTCTGGCCCCGGTGGCTCCGAGCCATAGCTATTCGTGAGATCTGCTCCAACATCACTGGCAAATTGGGGTGGTGACGGGTTGTATTGCTGATGAGTGGTCCTCGAGGGCTGTGGCAGATTCGAACTGTTGGCGGATTCAACCGGACTCCGACCCGCGGCCTCGAGTCGTCTGCGCCGCTCAGCTAGAGCTGCGCGGTCGAGGCCGCCCCTTCGTGACTGCGTGTACTGGCACTGCTTAGCAGTCTCAACGCAGCGGTTGCAGCGTGGTCGAACCCCATCGCACTTCAAGTGGCGGGAGCGGCAGAGCAGACAGGCCAGGGATGAGCGCGTATTGCCTCTACCATTTGGTGGTGCCGCCGACGTAACAGCAGTACCCATAAGGTCCGGATTGTGTGTTAGAGAAAGGAAGGGGATGGGGCGCTTGGTTAATACTATTCGGCGACCGCCGTCGACTCTGTAAAGGAGTGAAATGAAAGACGGATACCGGATATTCGGTGCCTTTGGAGGGTGGGTCACTGTCGAAAGGACTAGCGCGGGGAATACTATGTGACATAGGCACGTGACCCTTAATTTACTTAGGAGTATTTCGTATTAAACTAGACAGTGGGTAAGGAGGGCCCTCACGAGGTCCAAAAGGAGACCCAAAACCTATACGTTTTCATTTACTTCATGAACGTCTCCAAGTCTCCCTAACTTTCACGAGGCTGTACACATACAACGTAAAGCAACTGGATTTCCTTAAACAATCGATAGAATTTATACGCCTAACATACATAAGTAGTAGAGCGTTATCATAAGGGCATACGTGACGGGTTGTTCAACAGACCCGCCCCAGCCCTTTCTTATATTTTTGAGACAAGGTCTGAAATCTGTGCAGCGCCGGTGTTTGACCTAGTTATCGACTGCCTAATCAAAAGATACCTGTAATATTGAGACTAAAGTTCATCGTATTTCGCGCCGTTGCTGGTTTGTGGCTGTTGGTGGACGTGGGTTGTAGAGTCGTCAGCGGACTTTGCGTTGACGATCTGATAAGCGATGTTTGTCCAAAAACCACAAACAGTGGCGTTGTTCTGCTTGTCCGTTGTGAGCACAAACGCTCTCTGGAAAATCGGAAAATACTGCTGCACCCGCAAAACATTCGACAGCGACTCTCCAGGCGAGGCCACTGGCCAATCAAACGGGCGCGTCGGAGGGCCGCTGTTGGGATTGCCCGACGCGGCAAAGGCACCGAAATATGCCTGGTAGACATATTTAATCGATTCATCGAGGTCAGTCGCTAGGGCGTAGGCCTTTGCTTCACCAAAGTCTGGATCCGCGTTCAAAATGATATCGACGGCGTCCTGGATGCCGTTCATAAATGCCGGCAGCAAATCGCTCGCGTGCACGGCCTCCACCTCGGTCGGGAACGCATACTGCATCATGTAGCTCACGGAAGGGAAGGCCCCGTAAAGGTCGCGCGTATTGCAGAAAAAGGAGCTGTCGCCAATGACGGCGGCCAAGCAGAGCTTGAAATCGCCGCGGTATGGGGCGGCGACGCAGTTATAGCGGCTGCGAATCTGGCTGCGAACAGTGGCGAGGGCAGGTCCGGGTATGAACTCGGCGAGAAAGGTGTCAAAGTCATTTTGGGTCCGAACGTTGGGCGTGAAGCTGTACGATTCATTGTAGACATGGGAGATTATGGCACCACTGATGGCGGGATAGAACTGCTCTGTTTTTGTCACGTGGTTGTCAGTTTTCGACGTGTTCCAAGTAGGCATCATAGCAAGCGGCGTGTGCTGTGCGGTCGTTGCAGAGAGAGAAACGTACTGTATGCGAATGACAAAGCAGGGATGGTCTGGACCCAAGTGCCATCGACGGACGGCCCCACCGGGTAGATTCCCGTGTCCTTGACTCTGTGGTAGAGATAGTCGTTCGCGTTAATCAGGGCATCAATGTTTACATTTCGAAGGCAAGTGATGTTGAAGTTGCGGCCGCATCCTGCTGCCTGTGAAAAATTCAAGTAGGTCTCATCAAGTGTCCCGAGAGGCTGGTTATCCCAGGACCACGGAAAGGCCGGGCTCTGCACCAAGAAGGTGTTGAACAAAGGCTTGACAGTGCCACCCTCACGAATGAGATGATGAAGAATCGAGCCGGCACCGGCTGACTCGCCCCATGCGCTGACCCGGTTGGGATTGCCACCCACTCTGGAGATGTACTGGTTCGTCCAGTTGAGCAGCAGAGCCTGGTCGTAGAGTCCCGCATTGGGCTGCCCCGAACTTTGCATGTACCGACCGGCCAGCCACCCAAAGGCGCCAAGCCTGTAATTTCCGGCGACAAATATGACCTCGTTGTGGGTGGCTGTATTCATTGCCTGACCCGTGTAAAGCGAGATCCCGTCGCCTAGCTCTTTGGCGCCAAAGGCGAAAGCTCCGCCGTAGAACCAGACGACGACTGGCAGCGCCTTGATCGGATTCCCATTGGCATCAAAGTTGGATGCCGGCACGTAGACATCCAGGAACAAGCAATCCTCGTCCTGGGGCAGATCTTCGAGGGGCGCGCGAAGATCTGGGACGCCGACTGGTCCATCGTGAGGAACTTGAAGACCGCTGGCGCTCACCTGGTAGCAAGCTGCCCCCGACGAGCTGTTGTCCCATTGGGTTGGAAATGCGGACCGGCCGAACCTGGGCGGCTTAGCTCCGAATCGCACATTTTTGAAGACGTAGACCTGGAGGAAAGATTAGTGCACGTTGAATACTGGCACGGACTTCTTATGTACGAACATTTGAGTCTTTTTCGTAGACGGTAGACTGCCATGTGCCCCAGGGCAAGTTCAAGATCGGCAGCCGGGCTGCAGTTGCCTGGGCGAAAGATAAAACAGCCAAAAGGCAAACCGGGATGGCGAGTATCATCATGTTCGAAAGTCAAAGGCAGGGCAAGGAAAGGAACGCATAATTAAGCTCACGGGCTTGAGCAATTAGTAGCGAAAGCGTCCACAATACACACGAGGGCCATGCCAGGATATATGCTCTCTGAGATGATGAAAATCGAGCGTGTCACTCGGTGCTCAACGTCGTCAATCGTCACCCGATCACTGAAGGCCTAGACTCGACCCATGGTGAATAATATTGCCTATTTCGGCCACAACGTACCAAGCTGAGATATGCACAAAGCTTTGTAAAAACGCCACGGGCGCTTGGGCATGCCTCTGAGGCCTCTCAGTGGATGGAGATTGTACTGAGCTTTACACGTGTGTGCTCTGGCATTTGGAGGCTGCTTATGGCTGGTCAGCAAGCATCTTGTTGACCTATCAACGACATCGCGAATGATTTACCCCGCTCGTAAACTAGGTCGCCAGTTTTTGGATACGGAGACTGCGTGAGAGCCGTGATCGGATGAAAAAAATGCTATTTGGCTCCAGTGTAGCATGGTTGGCAGGACGGCTTCCTTCTATGGCGTTCTCTTTTGGTCAGGATTCCGCATTTATGAAATATAGCTGTGACAGAGATGTGTGTGTATTCTACTACGGAGAAGGAATCTAGCACAGGCAAAAAGCCCGTACAATGTAGGGGATGAGGAAATTGAGGCACATAGATTTTTTTACTCAATGTACAATTTTTTACCGTCAAAATGTGTCAAATAACGGTTTGGCCCAAAAGTTAGTGTAATTATGTTGTCTATGGTAGAATTCTGCTTAGATCCATAAAAGCTTCTAGTTATTATCCCCGGTGCCCGGTTACGTGCACGTATTAAGACCGTCACGACCATGTGGCATATCGAAATATTGGCAAATAAAGTGATGATTTTTAAAGAGAAAGAAAAAGCCAGAGAAACCCCCCAGGAACAAAACAACTCTAGACATCCTCTTGAAATTGATGCCTAGGATCTAAGGCAAGGCTGCCACATGACTTAACTAAGTGGTGTTATGGCATATATTTCAATACCCACCCTTCCCCCCGCAGATCTGAAGTCCGTACAGAAAGTTCAGCCATCACGACAAAAGAAGAGACCAAAAGGCATAAAAGGAGCGTGGGTAGACTGTTCAGAAGTTTTGCTAGCCAGGGTCTCTTGGGTGTGGCCGTAGGGCTAACAAACGGACGAATTTATCGTATTTTTGTCGCTGTAGAGGCTTCGTGAAGCCATCGGCAGGCACATGTGCTGTCGGTTTCCATGACATGGAGATCTGTCCATCAGCTATCACCTGGCGGAACCAATCGTGATAGATGTCCACATGCTTGATATCGACGGTTATCACATAGGATAGGGATTTAATTGGAATTCAGCCGAAGAGTTAGGTATCCGTAAAGATAATGACAAACGGATTTACCACCCGACTCAAGCGTGACTTTTTGGAGTTTAACATTTACCGATGTATCCAAGACATTCCGGTTGCCCACCATTAGAGTAGCACTAAATAAATATTTATCCCGCACCTATTTAAGAATTTGTCTCATAAATCAAGCTATTCGTAGTTATGATCTCACCAACGCTGAGCAACTTAATCATTGCTTAACCCCTTCACTGTATCGGGATAGTAGCTCACCGGCCGTACTATCAAAACAAACTCTGTTTAGCGGCCGGTTGATTCGCAGATATTCAAGTCCTAGAATACTGTTTCCTGGAAACATCTCCGTATGATCTCGGTCTTTGCAACAGGCGTCATGGGCAGTGTTGTCGTCCGGCGGTGGAAGAGGGAACGTGAGGAAGTGGGACTAGTAATACAGTGAGATAGACTACTTTGTCTACAAAGTTGGTACAAAAATAACAAAGAAGGGAAGGTGTCATGACACAAAAACACCGTTAATTCTGCGGTGATTCAACAGGGTCTCACTGGGTATGCGAGCCAGATCCTATCACCTGGCCTACTCGGCACGGCCCATGGGTCCGTATTCTGATCACCTAGTAGTCAATTACCTCTGGGAAGTGCTGTTGTAATAATATGGAAGTTTTTTTTTTAAAAATAGACTTATTTATTATAATATCGACTTACATTACCTCCTAAGTATAACTCGAGCACAAAACATAAGTTACCAGTAAGAAGACTAAAAACAAGAATATACGTAGCACTCCACTAAAACACGTCCTAACGAATACTTAACGAATCCTTTTACCACAGACGGAACGGCGCCAGACGCTGGCCGTTGGAAACAAAGGGCGTAAAGACCACGCCGTTCGTGACGGGCGTGACCAGGCCATCTGTGCCCGTCGTGTACGACACAAACGTCTGCGTGACGGGCGTCTCGAGGCCGTTGGGTCCAGTGGTGTACTGCACCGGCGTGGCCAGCCCGTTGGGCCCCGTCGTGTACGCCACGGGTGTGGCCAGTCCGTTGAGGCCGGTGGTGTACGCGACGGGGGTGGCAACGCCATTGGGGCCCGTGGTGAAGGCTACGGGCGTCGTCAGTCCGTCGGGACCGACCGTAAAGGACGTGGCTCCCGTGGTGGCAATGGTGCCCAGAGGCGGCCCGGGCGGCACCGTCGGCCATGTCTCGACAGGCGGCGGTGGAGCCAGCGGCGTGGTGGCCGATGTCCAGGTAGTGGGCGTGGGCTCGGGCGGCGGTGGCAGCGGCGTGGAGGCAGGCAACGCCGTTGTATGCGGCCAGCCAGCACCACCGCCACCCCAACCACCACCGCCTCCACCACCGCTGCCGCCGGGACCCTCGAACCCCCCAGGCCCCGACGGCGGGCCGTGCTGAGCCATGGCGACGGTTATGCTAAACGTGTGTTAGTGAGTGGGACGAGAGGGATAGTAGCTTTGGTAACATACATGGACGCTAGGTAGCCCAGCGTAAGCATGTCGTGCTTCATATTGGCGTGAGGAGGTCTTGTGGGGAGAGTTTGTGACTTGAGTGGGTTCAGTCGTGATGTCTGCCAGTAGTTGAGCTGTTTGGTAAACTCGGCAAAGTAGAGAATTCCAGGGAGGGATGCTTCTCAATTAAATATGCGTCAGAGAGTCACTGTCCGTACTCCTTTACAAGAGTAGAATGCGTGGAAAGTGTGATATGGAAGAGCCCGTCCGGCAGCTTCTTAATATCTGGAGGAGACTTATTGTCTGTTCATTTATTCACATGATATTGATTGTCGTGGAGTTCGGAAGCCGGCATCTTTCGTCACCAGAGTTAAGCGCCGTTGTGTTGGCTCAACACGGCGCATGGTGTTAAGCTTCACGGACGGAGCCCTTGTCAATGTAAATAAAGTGGTACACATACGGTGGTGTGTAGTAGTAGAAGGATGCTTAGATAGATAGTATTGGAAACCAACGGATGTATAACCGATCGCCTTGCATAATGGTGTAAATGGCACACGAAGAATAATGTGGTGGAACGAATGTCCTGTGCCGTAATGCTGGGTCAGATAGTTGGAGTAGAGAGAGTCCGTTGTTGTTTTGTTTTTTTACAATAATTATAATAAGGAAGAGCTGTCGGAAAATTAATGTAAATCTCGGGGCCTTTCCGGAGGTGGCTGTAGATTTACAGCTCAGAGTCAGCAGGCCATGTTTAACCGCACGGCCGTCAAATGCATAAAGATGTTCTGGCAATGACATCACGTTGTTAAGGCAAAACGCCTTCGCGGCCAGCGCATTTAGCCGCCAACTTTAGCTTATGCTCTATGGCTTAAGTGCATCGACGGGGAAAGCACAATGCAATGAGAGTCCGATAAATGGAAGGAGCAGAGCCGCACCCACGCGTGGTCAGCGTGGGGAGGTAGATGAGCGTGGTGGCAGTCATCGGGAGAAGTGCGTTGAATAACTTGGAGATTCCCTGTGCTGCGACAATATCCGCAAAGAGAAAGGCAAGAAGCACAACGGTGCGTAAGTCAGGGGGTTACACATCCTCACTTTGTACTGATGGCATTATGGTATGTAAAATATAGCTTGCAACTCCTAAGCTGAAAGAGTTTTTATGCTGCTCATCGTTCCCATTCCCAAATAATGTCTCGTCGTTCTAGCAAGCCAACGGAGAATAGATGGGTGCCGCTGGACCCCCAAACAAAGCAGCAGACATACCATTGCTTTCAATGTCAAAGTATTCGTCCCGGCCATAATAGATGCATTCGCTGACCATGTTGTAGCAGTACGGTGCAAAGAACTCATAAGGAACAACTTTGGTGCATGGCGTACGGTTGGTCGCGCCCAGTGTGCAGGTGTCCAGCTCCCAATAGACTTCGTCAAAGGCGGGGATGATGGCCAGGTTGCCACCGTACTGCCGCATGAAGTTGCTGATACTACTGCAGTCGTCGAGATTGGCCGACATCTGGGGCAGGTAGCACCCGATCTCATCACGCTTGCCCAGCCGGGCCACGGCAGGTTCTGCCACGGGATTAATGGCCAGCGGCCCAGCGGCTCGCTTGGCAGCTGTCCCCGCGGCGGTCTTGTTTTGATGTGTATTAAAAAACGGACGAAAAGAATATACAGGGCAAGGTATATAGGTGTCCTTCGTCTCACACTGTGCTCGAACTAGCACAGTGCTCTGTTTGTGATCCTTTTTGTCGATGTCCCTCGCTTCTTTCTTTTTTTCTTTTTTCTTTCGTCTTCTTTCATTTCCACAACTATCCTTCGTCGCACGCTCTGTTTGTAGTCCTAACCATCAATGTCTCTCGCTTCTTTCTTTCGTTTTTCTTCTTTTATTATCCCCACCTCCTCTCCTGTTTTTTTTTATCCTATCCCATATCCAACACAAATGGAAGGCCGATATCACGTACGAAGAAACACCGGGTCGGTACCAAACTTTTCCATTTCCATCTAGAGAACTAGCCAAGCCGTATTGTATTAGTAGCCATCCCGTTTGTTCTGTACATGTGGTCTTGCCTGGCCCTGCCAGTTCTTTGTTTTCTTCTGTGTACTGAATGTCAATCTCTGTGCTGTTGTTTGAGTACTGTGTACGTGTACCGGACTGCTCAAGTCCTAGGAGGCTCCTAAATGAACAAGTACTCCCGTTTCCGACATGGTAGACCAAACACCGCTTTTATCGAGGTCCGTAAAGCCACGGACTATTGTTAGGGCTGTGCCGAACGCCGCGACCGATAGTAGCACAATGAGCGTGGCAAGCGGCTGAGCCAGCGGATGCGAAGGTGCAGGCGAACCTGAATTGGGAGCGACCTTGCTGGTAGGCCCCCGGCTATGCAATGTGACGGTAGTCGTCGGGCAGGTTGCTTGCACTCCAGTTCCAGACGACGCAGAAACGCAAGCTACGAAGATCTCATGGCAGTGCTTGTACGTTTTTAGGTCGTGGAGCCGCAGGTCGTCCGCCGCCGGCGCCGGCGCCGTCGACGTCGTCGTTGTCGTTGTCATTGTCGTTGTCGCGTGCTGTAAAGTGGGAACCGCGACCTAGTGGGCGTCATACGTGTGAGAATTTGTCAAAGTATTTTTACTCTTGACCACACCCAAAAGAAAAAGCCCGCACTGCTGGTATGGAGGTATATTTATCACTTACCAACTCGGCCGGCGCTGGCGCTAGGCTATGCTCGCTTTCCGGTGAAACCATGAGTTGACGGCGTATGGGGGGTAATGATTTCGTTTATTCCCCATTTATAATAATGAAAGGCGGTCTCAATAGGCGCGACGAAGGGAAAGAAGTGACAGAGGCAAGAAGAGGCAGAAACGACAGTTGAGTGTCTTTATAACCGTCTAAAGTGAGAGGCCATTTCACGTGTCGAATCAGCCTTGTTCTAGGAACCAGACTGCTACCACAAAGCCAACTGGTGAAATAAAGAACCCTCTAATACGAAAGGCTCGATAACAGGTCTGAAGCACCGTTTCTTCTCACACTTGTTGATACAAAGTGGGGGAGCCCTCGTCTCACCTTATTAGTCAGAACCACAGTGTTCTTTATCGGCTACTTGCTCAGCTCCTTGCTCGGTTATGTAGATTATTAGTTTAGTGGCCGATGGCTAGGGTGTGATGGCAAAGACTGCTCAAAGCCGCTCAACACCTCGTATTCCCCCATGCCCAACCCCGGCCGATCGACCGGGAATCTCTTAGCGGCAGTCCAGTCACGCCAGAAAGCAGTCACACGACCAAGGTTACGAACAGAATCGACTGTTTTTCACCGGAAAAGCATCGCTGGGCAATCTGTCACAACGCGTCTGTGTCCACAGTGAGGTCGACTACAACGACGGACATGTACGATGGATGTTGTGGAGAGGATTCTTGGGATTGTCTATGAAGCGTTTTTCGATATAGAAGGCCAAGTCGGCTGTTCGTCGACGAAATTCACCACACCTCAGGCGCAATCGCAACGGCTATGCTGCTGCTGATATGTGACAACAGTCTATTGCTAGCAACTTAACTCATGCATACGATCACTCGCCTCCAACACGATGCAGCCAATTGGCAAACGCGCACGGCAGGCATGCATCGCGTGCAACGCGCGGCGCGTCAAGTGCACTGTGACCGAGTCGATGCCATGTCGGAACTGCCTGGTGGACGGGCAGCAGTGTGAGGTGCGGGAGTCGCGGCGAGGCAAACATCCGAGAAAGCGGACAGCGGCATCCAAGACGGCATCGAAAACAACGTCCATTACGACGTCAACGTCGGCGCCGTCGACGCGCGGCGACGAAGTCGCTGCATCTGAAGCCCTGGTCACGTTGCTGAGAGACCACGACAGCGAACGCGACCACGACTACAAACACACAGACGCTGAGCCCCACCGCATATCCATCGCGCCAGTGACACCAGTGACGATGCCGGCCGCACAGCATGGTGCCACAAATACCGAAGCGGACGCCGATGCAGAAACATCGTCCGTCTTTTTGGGCGAGTCCAATACCCTACGATACGTCCAAGCTGACGCCGCTGACAACTGTGCCGTTACGCCGCCCGACAGCACGTCGCCCAGCAGCACGACCGCTCACCTCCTCCACCAAGTGCCCCAGGCCGACGCGCACGACGTGGAGAGCAAGGCGATGCTGATGATGCCGGGCGGTGACAGAAATGGCGGGCGTCTGAGCGACGGTTGCCGCAGCGGCGGAAACGGCATGCCGATCTGGGCGGCTGAGCGACGACGCATTCAGATGCAATTTCTGCAGACCGCCGGTGCCCTTACTGTCCCGCCCGCTGCGACCGTCGACCGGCTGCTCGACGCCTACTTCCGCTGGTTCCACCCGTGCTATGCCGTCGTAGACGAGGCCGACACACGCCAGAAACAAAAGGCGGGCACACTGTCGCCGCTCCTCCTACAGGCCATGCTTTTTATCGGGGCAATCCATGCTGGCGGTGGCGGCGGCATAACAGAAGATGACGACAACGATAACGGACACAACACGACGCAGCGACATAAATACATCTACTACAACCGCTGCAAGGACTTGTACGACGCCGACTACGAGCGCGACAAGGTGACTGTCATTCAAGCCGTCTTTCTCATGAGCTTCTGGCGTACGGGGCCCTTTTTGGAAAAAGACACGCGCCACTGGTTGGCGACGGCCATCAGCTTGGCCCAGAGCAAAGCCATGCACCGGTCGACTGTGCGGGTGGCAAGCGTGGTGGCCGCGTCGGGGACGACGTCGAGCGCAAAGGCGGGAACGTCGACGACGACGACAGGCGGAGCGCCCGCTCGTCAGCTGCGCCAGCTCAAACAGCGGCTCTGGTGGAGCATCTACACGCGGGAGCAGCAGTGTGCCGCCGCGCTCGGACTACCCAGCCGCATCCGCGACGAAGACTGCGACGTCGCCATGCTGCAGGCCCACGACTTTGAATTTGCATTCGCGGGCGCCGTGCATCATGACGGCATCGCGTTCCAGGTCGGGGCCACCGGGCTTGCACGCATCATGGGCACTATCATCCGCCAGGGCTACGCGCCTGGCCAGGCCCTGACGGCCGCCTGCAAAGCCACGCTCCGCAAAGAGCTGCGGGCATGGAAGCCGCCTCCGCTCGACGCCCACTCGCCGTTCTTGGAGTGCACGGAGGAATTCTCAGAGACGTACTCGGAGGACCCGGCCGGGAGCAGCGCCACGCCGTCCACGTTTTACACGCGCCTCCTCCACTTGAGCTACAACAACCTGCTGATTTTGATTTACCGCCCGGCCTACATCAGCCAGAGTGCTTCGCATGCCGCGGAGGGCGAATGCCGCATTGCACTCCACGCCGCCACGCGGAATTCGCGCATTGTCGAAGACCTCGTGGCTGTTCCGTCCCTTCTGGCCTGCCTGCGGCACGCTCCCGTCCACACCATCACCAACCTGTTCAACACGCTCTGCATGCATACCATTCACCTGCGCCGGCTCGCTGCACAACGCCGGCCTGGGCAGCCGGGTGCCACTGGTGCCGTCGCTGGTAGGAGCTATGGCACAAGCAGCGGCACGGCCACGGGCGGTGTTTTGACCATTGCCGAGCACCGCGCCAAGGTCTGCCTGCTCGGCCTGCAGGAGCTCCAGCGCACCTGGGACGTCCGCAACTGGATTCTAGAGCTCTTCTTCCGCTACCTGGACCGGTCTACCGCGGCGCGCCTGTCTGTCGGCGCCGGGACCTTCCCGGGAACTAATACCAATACGAGCATGGCCGTCGGCGATCACACTGTACGCGCAGCCATAACAACCGCCACCTCCCCAGCACCGGACTCGGACGGTGCCGGGGTTCTAACGGGGACTGCATCCGGGCCGTGGCCGGCAATGTCCTTGAGCAATCCGGCCCACCAGTTTTCCATCTTTGCCTGCATCGATGGCATCGACAGCAATGAGCGGCCCAGTCTCACATGTGCAGACCCATCGCCGATGAGCGGGTCCGACCTGCTCTCCCACACCCCATGGGCAGAGGCCGTGCCCACGCTAGAAGAACAGCAAACTTACCTCTTCTCGCAGATGGAGACAGACCACCTAGCCCTGGGCGAAGGCGGCGGGCTCTGTGGTTATTGGGGGTCGTTGGACAATACCACCGTGGCTCTGGCGTCCAATGTCGGTGTCGACAGCACGACCGACATATTGGGGAGGGAGTGAGAGGGTGTGATACTACGGTGGACAAACGGGACAGACTGTGGTAGGTGTATGGATGAAGAGGAGGAGGGGAGCATCATGCCATACTCTGTATTGTTTGTTAATTGTCGATTTACTGGGCGACAATCATACGTTGACCAAACTTTTGTTCTTTGCCCCGCTGTACGTGCCCTGACGTAGCCTAAGAGGTGCTCCAGCGCTGTGTAAACGTTCTCACTGGCAGTCCCCGCTCAAGTCGGCTACTTGACACTAGTGACGGCGTTTAGCGAATAAGCCGACTCGGCCAGCGGTCATTGGCGCGGGCGGGCAGTCTACAACAGTACAAAGTACTGTCATAAGATGATCGAGCCACCTGGTTCAAACACTGTCGTGGCCTCCTTCTGCTTGGAACAGGCTACTGATTCAGCGCCTTTACTGTTACAATGAACTCTAGAAGAACAATGCTGCTAATTCGACCACGACGGTTCTTCTTGAGGTCCGCCTCTGCCGCGAGTCGATATTTCACGACAACGTCGACTCGCGCAAGCGCCAGTAGCAACACAAATATGGCGGCCGCCGAGGCCGCCGAGAGGCTCATGGCCGCCCACGGCACTGCGACCGTCGTCCGTCGCCAGTACATCGACGCCAATCAGCTGGCCAAAATGGCCTGGACGCTGGGCCGCCCGTCTGTGTCGGGCGTCACCGTGTCGGACGATGCCGCCCTGCCCGATGGCACGCCTGTTCCCGCCGGTTATCACCTCGCCTACTTTGCACCAGGTGGGCTCGAGGCCGATCTGGGTCCGGACGGCACCGACCGCACATTCAACGCGCCGGTACCCTTTACGCGGCGCATGTGGGCCGGCGGGCGCATGGAGTGGACGACGAACACGGTCAGCGGCGGCTGCGACGGCCTGCGCGTGGGCGAGGTGGCCGAAGAGCGCACGCGGCTCGTCAGCGCGACGCCCAAATTGAGCAAGTCGAGCGGCCACGGCATGGTGCTTGTCGAGGTCGAAAAGGAGCTGTGGACGCGCCGAGGGCTGGCCGTCGTGGACCGGCGGTCGTGGATCTTTCAGCCGGCCGTGGCGCCCGATACGGAGACGCCGAAGTCAGCGTCGATATTGCCAGGCGCACCGTTCCTGTCATACAAGGGGCCGTCAACCGTCCACGACGAAATGGATAGCACACGCTCGACGGCCGCCTCGGGCGCCGCGAGCATTTCAGAGAACGCCACGGACCTAGTCCGTCACTTTTGCTGGTCGCCCGTCGCACTCTTCCGCTTCTCGGCGCTGACCTTCAACGGCCACAAGATCCACTACAACGAGGACTGGACGCAGAGTGTGGAGAAGCAGAATGGTCTGGTTGTGCACGGCCCTCTGAACCTCATCAACCTGCTCAACTACTGGCAAGATGCCACCGGCAACGTCACGGGGCCCCAACGCATCCACTACCGCGCCCTGCGGCCCCTCTACGCCGGCGACACGTACCAGATTCGCACACGAGGTAAGGCGGCGGGCGACGGGCCCCGTCCTGTGTGGGACGTTGTTGTCCAGAAGAACGGCAAGGACCATATGTCGGCGGAGATCCAGTAGTATGAGGGGCGCCTGTGGAAACAAGGCGCGGGAAGGACAGGCCGTTGTCTACATTTGCGATTACAGTAGCAAGCTTCAGTGCAGTGTATATGGCATCCAGTGCGTGCTGACAACTGTAAAGAAACTAGGCCGGACGTAGTGAGTGACCAGGAGGATACATCAGTGACAATGGCAAGCCAACGGGTGTATGTCCGATGACTAAGCGTGTGTAACACGAGGTGCGCGACACACTCGAAACAGTTCCTTCCCAGTTTCATTTTTTCCCAAGTAGTTTTCTGGCACGATACTTTTCAGCAATATTCCTTCGAAGCGCGTTTACTCGCTTCTGCATCCTCCATCCGACGCACCTCCAGTCCACCCATCGACAACGATGCCTTCCTGCTAAATTCTCATTTGGTGTGATACCTCGTTTGCTACATTCAAGCCGATGTCGCTGGTCCCAGGACCCAACGGCGTGCTTCGCCACCCAAACGATCAGTCATATCACCTGTCGACATCTTTGTACCTTCGTCTGAGTCTCTGTTTAAGTTCATCTCGCCAAGCTTCCTCTTATGTTTGAAGTGACGTTGAAATTGAACTCAGACTGGCTGACGAACTTCTACTCGATTTTCTGTCTTGTCTTGCTCTTCTTCTTCTACTTCTTCTTTGTATTCCTCTTCCTCTTCCTCCTCTTCATCCTCTTCTTCTTCTTCTTCTTCTCATCCCTATTTTACTCCACCATCCACAAACCCCAGTTGCACATCTTTGCCTTGCCAATGACAAACACCATAGCAACCGAAAACATGGACAGCATCCCCAAAAGGCTCAAGGATGCAGTAGTTTCCAAGAATTCCAACGTATCTACGTTTTCATTTATGACGTCTACGCCGCCGCAGATACAAAACAGCACACATATCCTGGCAGTATGCCCCGTGCAGCAGCATTACGCAAGTCGCAATTTGGATGGCTGGTTCTTGGCAGATTTCTACGCCTTTAACTTGCTATTTAAAGGACTCGGCGCCAGTCAAACCTGGCTCACAGCAGCGGTAAGTCCATGTCGTCTCTAGCGCAATATTAATGGAAATGTCAACGGAGGCTAACAGGTTAATATTCAGGACCCTACCGCTCTTGTCCAACAGTATGGCAAATACGTCCACGGTAATCCATACCAGGCGCGGAAAGTTGTTCTCAGCAGAAACATTCTCGAAAAGGGCCAAATTACGCCCGTCACTGTCATGAAACACGAGGACTTAGGCGATACATTTCTGGAACACGTAGCCAAGGTCTCGGAAACAGCAAAGCGCACACGTGGCCCGGTGCTTCTCATCGTCTGCTGTCACGGATTGCCTAACCATTACTTCTCTTTCGGGTCCGGTGAGGGTAGGGGACCGAAAATTTCAATTGTGCGCGTGCAGAACGTCTTGGAGCGCAATGTTCCCGTCTGTCTCCTGACCACAGCATGCTACTCGGCAGGGTGGAGTGTTAGCACGGATATCAACATTAGTACCATGACAGCTGCAGATGCCGAACAGGAATCGAACTCATGGGTGGCTAGCAAGAATATCTCGAGATACTCTGGGTCGATTTTTGCGAGCAGTATTATCGACGCCATGAAATCTGCGACCGACGAACTGGGACGACAAATCAGCACACAAGACATGGCCAATGCAGACGAGACGCTCTCGAAGCTCGACCAAAATCGGCGAAAAACCTCGCTACGAAATCGTTATTGGAGTTCTGCCGATCCGTGCATCTGTCCAGCCATACAATGAATCGCCTGGCCAGTAAGCACTATTTTACGTTTTCCAGTCAAGACGACCAGTGGGGAGTTCCCTGGCAGTATTCGATGTCTTTTTTCTTGACAGATTTTGCCAGCCGGTGGGCCAAGCTGGAAGACTACCTCTATACCGGCAGCGAAGTGGCTAAGTCGAATCTGGATCCGTCGCCAACCAACCCATCCTTTGGTACAGCTGGCCCTTCACGCACAGGCGGAGACACAAACGCCGGGATACGGACACGGACAGGACAAGACCACCAAGACTACAATCAGCCAAGACCGGACACAGTCCCCACAATCCGGTCGGTCAATACGGAACTTCCCGAGCGACCAAGCCAGTGGCTGATGCCGCTGCAGAAAGATGCCGGTCTCGGGATTTTAGAGGATGCCGCCATGGCCCGACACATCAACCGACTCGTGGAAGACATGAAAGACTCGTGTCCCGGTGACGAGCTCCGTGGTTACTGGCACTTGCTGGATGATTACTATTCCAGATGTGCCGAGACCGGCCGTAGTACGCTCGAGTACGATGGCGACGACGATGACGACGATGACGATGGCACCGGGGGCAGCTATATAGGTATGGACAACTGGAACCTGTTCTCGATCGTCCAGTACCGGACCACGGCGTCAGATTTTGCGACACACAATATTGTGGATGCATTGCGACTACCTCGACCCAACGGCCAGGACTGTCTTCACTGGGACCGCGACGCATGGGAGGACCGCATGGTAGCGGATCCACGGAACAAGGCCGCGAACGGGGCACAACTTGACGCCCGAATGCATCGGGTGTGGTCCTACCTGTCTAAGCGGTCTTTTTTTGAAATGCTCACGCCCGCTATCGACCAGGGCACGCATGTTATCCGCTTCCATAGGTACGTGATTGCGGCTATTTTCGAGGCACACCTCGGCAGTGAGTCCGCCGAAAATGCCGTCATGGACCAAGTGATCGACATTCTCAATCGTCACCAAAGCTACTATGCGTCTGTCGCCCGTTCGAGCCGCGAAGTGCTGATGTCGGCGCGTCGGTACCATTCTATTCGGCAGACTCTGAAACGAAAGCCTCGTCACAGCGAATGTTAGCAGGCCGATGCGCCCACTGGTCTGATGTGCAAGATCGAGTCTCTAAAACAGGTATCATTGAGTCTATGGGTTTTGTTCTTTGCTGCGCGTATGAGTGTCTGTCATTTTGTCTCGTTTTCTATTTCGTTTGAGTTTCTTTATCCTCGTTTCCTCTTTTTTTTCCTTTGCCATCCCGCTGGCCACAAGAATTTTTTTTTTTCCACTTGTCTGTGGAGTTGTTTGCCTTACTTTATTTTATTTTATTTTGTGAGTTCTTCAGTAGTTTCTTTTTTGTCTTTGAGACAGACAGTGAGAAACACAAGGGAAGAAGGGGAGGAGGAAGTCGTCGAACTAGTTTTCAAACTGGTGACCCAGTTGATGGATAACACGGATAATACTTCGCATTCTACATATTCAATTGTGCAGACTTTTCCTAGTACACCGTCTAACCTAGCCTAGACAAACTCAACCAATCATTTCACACGAACCAAGCGGATCGGCCGTCGCATGCCCTTTCGAGTGTTGTTGGTGATCAGTTCCAGTCACATGACCAGATCTTTTGGTGGCGCCCTTTCTGGAATGTGATATGCTCCTTCTGTACAATATATTGGTATTGAATGCCGAAAGTAATTCGTATGTGTTGCTTAAATTAAATACTTTGTGCGACACGTATCGTACTCCATGTCGTATTCAAACCAGCGTGGGTGGCGCTATTTGATTTTCCGAACCGTTTTGAATGTAACCGTTTTATGCTTATTTTCATTCGACACATTAAAAACAATAAACAGATGTGCATCGATGCAACATGACGCTGCCAATGCAACAGAACTACATCGATGCAACATGGCTAAAAATATGCCGGTGCATATTTTGGGTATGTTCTAGACGTCTACCACCGACGTCTACCACCGAACAACAAGCAGCTGCACCGGACATACACAACGTCACAAAACAAACATACCAACTCCGACTTCCACGCCGGCCGTGGTTGTGTCTGAATATTGGAAAATGGTAACACCAGCACATATCGGCAAAACCTCGTCGTGCCTTGCCTTGGTTGTAACAAATGTGGCACTGTCGTCTAGACCAAAACGGTCCTTCACATACGTCGTTGAATGTGGTATTCGTTCACGGAGCACTCGGCAGTGTGTCCACCGAGGTATTTGAATACCGCTAGTTCTTAGCAGGGGTTCGTCCGAAACAATAAACATCGCATGTGTGTCGACATACAGGCGAAAACTCTTCATCTTGGTTGTCGCCGCTTTGACAGCGCCACGACCTTAGCGCCCACATTGGCCGCATATGGGCATTCCCAAGAAAAAGATTCAGTCGCGATGGGTCGCCTTGCACATTCGGGCCCACTCCGCCCAAATATAGACCCAACCATCGTCGTCCGCCGTTTCAGCATCAAGCCCTGAATAATCTGGCCTGCTTTCGTTATTCCTCTTCTGGGATCCGCACCGATCTAAATTAGCAACAGTATAACGTCGTCGCCGTTGTTTCCGTGCTACCTCTGTTGCCGTTGTATTCGACTAGTCCCTTAACTCCCATACCAGTTTGGTCGGACGACGCTTTTGTCCTCTACATTGAGTATGCATACCGCCGTTCCCTCTCCTTGGCCGCGCCGCTTTTGTTGTTCTGTTCCTTGACGCCAATTGAGCCAAGGGGCATCCATTCCGATTGGGGGAAAGGGCAGTCGGTGGCTGTTTTCCAAATTAGACATGTTCCAATATTACGCTGTCCTATTTCCGCCTAGCTCCCCAATAGCTCCGAGCGGCTGAGAAAAAGGGGTGAACAACAAGAACAACAACAGGACCAAATAATGCCTCTATCCCATAGATCGAGCGCCACATTTTTTTTAAAAAAAAATGTTGATTTTGTTTCCACTAACGTCGTACTTTCGAGGGTAACAGTGACATTGCCATAGGGCTACCCAGTTTTAATAAACTGCACATGTCCCCCTTGCCGTACGTTTATAAAATCGTCTCCCGTACCCCGTAATTTTCTAAAGATCATACTTATTTTGTCAAGCAACAGCGACAGTCACAACCAACTCAAAGCGTCTCGACAAGAAAAGCACCGCCAAAACCACCATGAAGGCGTCTTTCATTCTCGCCGTTGGGCTGACTTGGGTCAGCGCCGCCATGGGCTCCAGATGCAAGCCGTCGTCGGTCTCTTCGTCGGTGTCGTCGGTGTCGTCGCCGCCAGTCTCTTCGACTGTCTCATCGGTCTCGTCGGTTTCGTCGGCGTCGTCCTCTGCCAGCGCGAGCGCCACCTGCTCCGGTAACTTCATCGTCGACGGCGACTTCTCCGACAACAAGCTTCCACCTGCCTGGACCGTCTCCGGCACGGGCAATGCCGAGGTGAACCCCAACTGCTATGCCCACGGTGTCAGCTGCGCTCACCTTGAGACAGGCCCCACCTCGGTAGCCATCTCGCAAGTCGTGACGACTGTCTCGGGTACCATCTACGACATCTCCTTCAGCTACTTCATCCTGGCCGCCAGCAAGAACCCGACCCTCACCGTGCTCCAGGACGGTGTGGTCGTCGAGACGATCCAGCTCAACGTGGGGCCCACCCATACGTGGATCCAGGCGCCGGTGGTGCAGGTTACGGCAACGGGCACCCAAACGACGATTTCGTTTTCCGTCAACGCGGTTCCGGGTGGCGAAGGCAACATTCAGCTCGCCAACATTGGCATGTGTGCTTACTCCTAAGCGTCTCCCGTTGCTAGTTGAGATGTCCACTGGTCTCGCAACGAAAGCGCTATTTCGACTGCCTCTATCCATGCCATCTCTGAACACGTTGGTAAAAAACGCCGGTTTCTACTTCTATCTTTCTTTCGGATAATACTTTTCAGTGTCTTCTTTAGTCCTAGTTAACAGTTTATTTATCTATTCGGCGTCGAGATGAGATACTACCTCTGCAAGAGTAATTCTTTCTTGCTGTCTCGTGCATCGCCGTCTAATCTCAGGATTAAGAGCTTAGTTTTACGTTTTAAGCAATGCCAAATAACTATTCAACTACATGGGATAAGCTCAAAATTACGTCGCCGCAGCCTCGGGGTACCTAGAGCCATTCTAGTGACCGTATCCGTGTCACAGGCATCAATTTCAATAATTTTTGTGTTGGCTTCCTGTATGGTCCAAGGCGCCAATAACGGGTACTTTCTCTTTAGAGAGTGTCCACGATAAAGACGAATTGAAAAATGGCCCTCGTTCCAGCTTTTACTTCTGGTTATGTCGCCTTTAACCAGTGGTAAGGGCGGTTTTGCTAACAGACGACTGTATACACTCCGCAGAACACTGCACTTTGACAACTTTGTGCAGAAGATTGAACGGGCGAAGAAGATCATAGCCAGGCTCGGGACTATGTGGTGCTACTTGAAAGGACTAAAAGTGGGCCTCCATGCTTCCCCATTCGTGCATTCAGTGATAAACCACATGTACTAAACTGTGTTCCTGTTTTGTTCTTCGTCCGTTTTGCAAAACGAAACCAGTGCGTTTGTACAGTGAAACCAGTTCGAGGCGTTTTCCTGCACTTTGGGTGGTCGAGCTCCACAAAGCGTATGTGGCACTATTGAATCACTACTCTGTACATTACAGCCTTATGGCGGCACTTTTAAAAGATGTCAGGTAAGATAAATTGGTACGACCGTATAAAGGCGAATAAGACGGAGTGCACACTATGCAGTTCAAAAGGATGAAAGTTGCGCGCCCTGTCAATACCTCTCTAGTGTTAAAGTGACCCACTCGACATGTTTTGACGCTTTGTTTCGCTTGTTAGACTAAGGAGCGGACGGCCGTTGAATGTCGCAGATCCAAGTGGATTCACATATGCTCCACTCCGCCAACAAAAGAAGAGGAACGGTAATGCCCTCGTGTACGAGCGGACACATCGGTATGAAGAGATAATATATTAGAAGACACGAGAGAACTACGTTTTGATTACGGCAGGAGTGCAAGGTGATTAAGAAATACTATTGCTGAATAGGTGGTCTTGCAAAAATCAACGATATGTGAGTAAAGTAAATCAGCTCGTCGTAAATATCCGACAGACCATTCTCACAGTCCACCCCTTAGATCCCATTCTTAATCTTCCACCACACGCAGACTGGGGGGGTGGGGTGGCAAAGCTTCAGTACATTTTTCTGGATTTATTTGCCTTAAATTTTCGGACAATATTAGTCAATTTGTCGTTGAAAGCAACATATTGACCAAGTGTTGTATAACGGCGCTGCCTGCCATTGAACGCTGATTGCATGTCGGCCGCAAAGGTCCGCAGCAACTGCAACTCTGTCGCCGTTGGTTTGAACAAGTTGCCACTCTGCTTCTTGAACTCTGTAACAAAACCGGGCAGTTGAAAAAGCTCCACGAAATTGTCGAAATGTATCCAGAGGCTCTCCATGTTCCTCGCGGCCTTGGCAGCGGATCGTGCAGTCACTGTAGGATCCCGTGTCGATTAGGGAGTTCAAATGGGCTGGCCAGACGATGGTGGCCATTTTCTGGCTACGTCCAATAGACATTGTTAGGCTTTTCGACGTGGACGCTTAATTGAGATCGTAGGTTGGCTTGAAAGCACGTTCACTGCTGTGTAGGATACCAAACAGGTATGTGGTGAGAGGATTCACATGGTAAAAAGCAGGCTACGCACTTCTACTTTTGCATTCCGTTTTGAGTAGAAGTGGACAGTCGCTCTTACCTTTTACTCCCTGCCAATGATGTGAAATGAAAATGTCGGAACGCTCAAGTGCACATTCTCACAATGGCATTCGCCATCCTATACAGAAGGTACAAAACCACCATGTCGTTTTCACCTCCTTCTATTCGTGACTTGTACATAACATAAGTTTAGATTTGTAGCAACCGTCACAACAAATATTCTGTGCATCCATCTCTTCCTTCTCTTCACTGTCAGCAGAACGCAGTAGATTCCGCATTTAGCATATCGAACTTATGCTGTGTCACTCATACATCATTCCCGCAAACGAATATCGTTGAGTCTTATTTCATATGTCGAGACTCGGAACATAATCGACCGCCCAACAAACCTCTCCCACACATGACTTCCCTGCTCCCATCTGTGGGTTTTGGCGGTTGCACGGTTGGGGCCGATGGTCGAACATTCAAGGCGCACAAGGCAGTCATTTGTCCCCAGTCGCCCGTCATGAGAGCAGTGCTTGTCGACCATTTCTGGGTACGTCTTCGGTGGAGAGTGATATGAAGGATTCTGAGGAATATCACCAATTGTTTGTCTGAATCGTGTAGGAAGTGGAATTCAGCACAACCCATATTGATGGTTTCCCTGTGGAAACGGTCCAGACGATGATGCGCTTCATGTATGGAGACACAGACTTGTGGCCCAAGAAACCAACCCAACCAGGGTTTACAACAGCAACGCCGAATGTACCGAAATCAGGGAGGAAACCCACACCGGTAACGATGAGAGGAAAACAAGGCTTTTGTCACCAATTCGAGTGAATGCAATGCGGATTTCTACAGTGTTGACGAGCTTCGCAAAGCTATCAACCGCGAAATTGAAGCTGCCTTGGGGATAATTTTGCCCAACCATCTTCGACGAGGCTGCACAGGTTGTTACTTCGGAGACGGCCGAGAAGGAACTTCGTCGGCTCTTCAATCGATGCGCAGCACGTCATGTTGAACAGATTAGCACAAATTTTGTTGACCTCACGGCCCTAGCAGCATTGGATAATGCCGAAGTCCTACTGAACATGGCATACACACGTATACGGTCTGTTTGCCTACTATTCTGTTGGTCTATTTACTGTCTTTTTAATAACTTTAATAACTGCGCATTGTCTTCATATCGTAGTTCGACTTTGCCTTCCTTCGCTGAACAGGTATATCGAAAAATGCATAGAAAAGAGACGACGGTGCATTGCTACCCAAAGCGCCAGAAATGATCCTATTAACCTGTACTCCGTATGTGCAACCCAGAGTCTACAATTTATTCCGTTGTCTGACCTGCTTGCTTCTCCGCTTGTCGCTGCTTTTCCTCCTTCTCAGCCAGTGCCCGCTCACGGTCCACAATCCCCAGGAGTCCGCGTGCCCGTGCAAGCATGTCCGCCGTCTCCACGTTGAGCTGCGCATTGAGGTAGGCAATGGACACGGCAATGGAGCTGCGGTACGTCGGCTCTTCTGCCACGTCTTGGAGGAAGGTGGCCGCCGCTTCTGATTTCGGCTCGCCCGCTGCTTTGCGGGCGGCCGCCTCCTCCATCGTTGCCCGGATAAGGTTCGCCTCCCACGTATCTTCCTGACCAGCGAAGGGCATTTCGTCACGGATCAGTGCGCTGGCAATCTGGGCGCGCCGCCGTCGTTTCTTGCCCTTGAGGCGAATGGCGCGAGACAGGATAGGTGGCTGCGGCTTGCCGAAGCGTAGGAAGGGAATGCCGGTAGCCTCCGTGACAAACTTGGGGACGGGGCGGACACCACCGGGGATGTCGGACAGCGGTCGCGAGGGCGCGCCAGGGACGTATTCGTAGAGCTGCGTCCGAATGCCGTCGTGCGAGACCTTTTCGGTGTTCGGGACGAGGCGGCGGACAATGACCGGCGGATGGCGGGGACGACCAAACTCGTCTGTGTCGCCCGTTGTGTCGAGGCCGGCCTCGCGGGCGGCCTTTCTTTCCTTTTTGGCACGCTCCTTTTCGAGTCGCTCGAGCTTGCCACACAGAGCTTTGGGGGGGCGTGTGGGCGGTGCACGCCGCTCGAGGTACGAGACAATCGACTTGTGTGCAGGCGACTCAGGTGTCCGAGCGGCGTCCAGGAGCTGGATGAACTTGTAACCCGCGTTCAGCGCCACAAAGACAAGCCGCGGGCTGGTGTCGGCACGGTTCTGCTGGAAGGAGTGTCGGACAAAACGATGGATCGGATGCACATAAGGTTTGTCGGGTGTGCGATATGCGACATGATCAGGGAGTGGAACAAGACGCGCCCTCTTGACGAGGGCCTTATAAAGGGCAAAGCCTGAGGGTGTGTGAGTGACCAGGGGCCGAATGAAGAGCCAGAATCAAACTGTCACAGGAAACTGCACGTACATGCTGTGCGATGCCGCGAGCTGCGGGCCGGAACAAAGAAACTCGGCATTCATCTGGCGGCAGCAGAAGGGCGTCTTGGATTTCACGGAGGCGCGCAGGAACGAGAGTGAGGTGGAATTGGTTGAGGTCCGGGCGCGTGGAAAACTTGTGACGTTAGACGACTAAATTCGCCAAAAAGAGCTTGACCAGAGCTTCAAGTGCAGGTCACGTGCTAATTTTACAGCCTCGTCCAGTATCAGATGAACCACAAACACAATTTTAGCACATAACTTGCGATGGCGGCGGTTTGACTTATGAATGAAAGAAAATTCAAATGCTAATGATGACTGCAAATAGAAACATAACAATAAAAAAGAAAGAAAGGAAGGAATAACCTGCAGGAAACCCAACATCCCAACCCCAGCTCCAGCGAAAGTCAAGCAACAGCTCCTCAGACCCAAACCTCAAACCGGAGACATGCCAGCGACCGCGGCGCAGCCTCTCGTCCACCCCTCCAATTGGTTGTCTTGCCACCCTTCCAGTTGTCAATGTTCCGGGCAGCGTCTTAAATAAACTCGGGCGTAGTGTCCAGAGGTAACGTGAATCGCCGCAAAGACGTCCGCGCGCGTCCTTAGATCAAGTCCTTGTAGATGTCGTAGCGGACGTTCTCCTCCGGCTGTGCCAGCTTGTTGTTCTTCTCCATGCATCTGAAAAAGAGACGCAGGGTTAGCAGGTGTCTCGGCGTTGTTCGCTGTGTTCCACTCATTCGTTGCCTCCGCGATCTGCTTGGGAAATACATACTTCCGTATCGCCATCATGGCCGCCTCCAGGCTGAGCAGCTCCTTTGGACTCGTTTCCCAATCGCGCAGAATGTCAAATGAGTTCTTGTCCACCAGGCCGTTGACGCCGTCCACGCCGGGTAGGTTGATCTTGGTCACAAAGTGGATCACGGGCGGCTTCTGCGGGTAGTGCTCGCCGCATTGCATCTTGAGTTCGTAGATCCGGTTTGCGTGATTGCCCTAGACAGTCAGCCCGTGCATGTAGGAGAGGAGACATCCATGGCCACGATCCGTTTGTCATCAATGTCTGTCTGCACCGCCTGTCGCGGTTGAAACTCACGTGTGGTGGGCCCCAGATGGTGCCTCTCCAGTTGGTCATGAGAATGTCCTCGGGATCCTCCAGGCCGTACGAACAAACGCCTGTAATGTCAGCGTATCTTTCCCCCCGGCATTCAGCTATCAGCAGAGACTGCACCGGAGCAGGCACCCACCTCCATGCAAGCCCTTCTCGCCCTTCTCCAACTCGTCGAGGAGCTTAAAGTTGCGCGGAACCTGTGCGGTCGCCATTTTGTGAATCGGCTTGAGGGAGCAGGTTATTCGGCGAGTGGTGTAGTCGATGCGTGGTGTGTGAGAGGGAAAGTTGGTTGTCTCCGTTTGGGTTGTGCGCGTGAAGTCGATTTAAAAGTCACGATGGTGAATGTGCGCGAGACCAAACACTCCTGGCCGTTTCTGCCGCTGTGACGGGGCGAGGCCCGTAGCGGGGTTCTTGGGCGCGCTACGCAGTTGGCAGTGGGCTGTGGGGGGTCGATTGGGGCAGGGTCGCCTATTGTTGTTTCCTCATAAGGAAAGGCGGTGTGCAATTCTGCCGTAATGCGGCCTGCCTGGGTGGTCTCCTTCCGACTACGTATGCCGTTTAATACAGCGGCAGGTGCGACGAGGAGCTTGGCTCCCTAATAACGGTATCCGCGACGAGCTTCGAGAAGCACATCAAACAAGGTTACCAAGTCGATACACATAATTCGCCCACGACTCCCAAACCCGCCCATATTCACCCTACCGCTCCATCTGTTCTACAGAGCCGCAGCGTCCCACTATGTCGAAAGCCTCTGCTGAAGCCGCAAAACAAAGATGACCGCACAGGTGCTGACAGCGGAGCTTGGCAATCTGATCCAAGAGAGCAAGCGAAAGCACAACGACTTGAGACAGGTTGGTTGACGAGGCGGTGATGATTATTTAAGGAAACGCAGAGACTGATTTTATTTCTCCGTACGGTGTAGGCCTCGGAAAGGTCTCTTGAAGAGCTCAAGAACCTCGGCGACAGCTCCGAGGCGAACATAGGCGCAGGTACGAATTGACGACGAACTTGAGAACAAAGTCGACCACCGCAATTCAATGCAGAGCTAACAATGTGTCGCTACGCAGAACTCGCCCAGCATGCCAACTTCGTGAACCCCTTCATTATCGCGTGCGGCACGCGCACCGTCAAGTTCACCAGCATCGCGATTGTGTGTCTCCAGCGTCTCATCGCCGCCAAAGGCGTACCACGATCACGGCTCGACCAAGTCCTACAGGCACTGCGGGAAGCGTCTTCGGGCGGCCTTGACGTGCAGCTGCGCATCCTGCAGTCCCTGCCCTCGCTCCTCCAAAACTACGCTGGCGACATCGCCGGCGAACTCCTCATCACATCTCTCAACATCTGCTTCGTTCTCCACGCCAGCAAAAACGTCGTCGTTAACAACACCGCATCAGCCACGCTCCAGCAGCTGCTCATTGCCGTTTTCGACAAGGTCGCCGCCGAGGACAAGGCCCGTCTCCAGACGTCGCCCGTCGGCGAAGCGCCTGTCCAGAATGGCACAGTGGCACTCCACCAGGCCGCACTCGATGCCTACTATGTCTTCAACGACATATGCATCTTGACCGAGGCCGGGCGCCCAGAACACCTGCGCTTTTCGAGCTTGTCGACAACGTTTGGCCTCGAACTGATCGAGTCCGTCCTCACCAACCACCCGGCTATTTTCACGTCCCACCCAGAGCAGACGCACGTGCTCCGGGTGCGCCTGATGCCCTTCCTGACACGAGGGATTGTCAGCAAGCCCAACTTCCCGACGGCGGTCCGTTTGGTACGCGTTCTATTTACACTCCTGCGGCGACACATGGCGCTGCTGGCCGACGAGAGTGGTGACGCCCTGGCTGCCCTCTGCCACGTGTTGGACCACGACGCCCTCCCCTGGAAGCGCGTGCTGTGCCTTGAGGCCTTCAAGGGCCTAATTTCTGATCCGGCCCTGGTCAGGCAGCTCTACATTTTGTACGATGCGAAGGAGGGTGCAAAGGACATTCTACAGGAATTGCTTGCCACGTTCGTTCGCGTGTCTACCGAAAAGCCGAGCGTGATTGGCCTCGGCCATCAGTCGACCATTCCCGTGGCCGGCTATTCGAACAACGGGGCTGGATCAGCGGAACAGGCCGTTATAGAAGCGAGCGGCATGTCTGGCATTGTCACGTCCAACTCCATGACCGAGTCGGCAAGCACCGGCATCAGCTCCCAGTGGAGTGTCATCCGCACACCCTGCATCGACCAGCTGGACAAAGCGGAGCCGCTCACCATTCCAGAGTCGTACATCTTCAGCCTCATCCTCGCCTGCATCACGTCGCTGTCTGACGGCCTAGCCAAGTTTATCTTGCCACTGACGGTACCCCGGGAAAACCGCAGCCAGAAGCGAGCACTTAAGCAAGATGGCCGCGCCAACTCACCCGCTCCTACCGAACCGACTGGCACTGCTTCGGCGCCTGGCCTTGAACGGTCGGCCTCGGTCCGCAAGAACCCAGGGCCTAAGAACCCCCTCCTCCTCAAAGACCATCCCTTGTATACCGAGGTCAAGGCGTACGCCGACATGATCGACCGCTGCTGGCCGGCCATTCTGGCCACCTGCTCCACCTTCCTGTACTCGGCCCTCGACTCCGAGTACTACCACAGCCTCGTCCGCGCCTTCCAGCGTTTCACGCACGTCGCCGGCCTGCTCCAACTCAACACGCCGCGCGATGCCTTTTTGACGACGCTGGGCAAGGCCGCCGTGCCGCCCAATGTTCTGAGCGCCTGCCACAACGCCGGCGCCCGGCCCATGACACCCACGTCGGCTGGCGCCGACACACCCAACACGCTCTTTGGCAATGCCCGCGGTCTGCTGAGTGTCGACAGTCTGGTAAGCCAGTCCTCGACGGCCGAGAAGCCACGGCAATCCTCGGCGGACTTGTCGACGGCCAGCATCAACACGCGCAATCTGCTCTGTCTGCGTGCCCTGTTGAATCTAGGCATTGCCCTCGGCCCGACCCTCGAGTCGTCTTGGCAGATTGTCCTCGAAACCTTGCAGCAGGCCGACTTTGTCCTGTTTACGTCCGGCAAGGCGGCCGGTCGTACACTGGCCGTTGTCCGCGCAGCAGACCCGCAGGCCGAGGCCGAGGCCAATATGCTTCTGTCCAACTTTGGCAGCGAGATTAAGGCGGTCGAGACCGCCGCCTCCCGCCTCTTTGAGAGCACCATTGACTTTCCCAACACGGCGTTTGTTGAGTTTGTCGTCGCCATCTGCAGTTTGCTTGAGAAGCGGCCAGAGTCACCAACGGCCGTAGCCTCTGAATCTGCGGATGATGACCAGGCTGCCCAGGCCGCCCCATCGCCGCAGTCGACACCGCGTAAGAACAGTGGACATGTTGCATCGCCGTCCCTCAATACGCCCACCGTTAAGCACAAGCGCGTCATGAGTGTCACGACGGCGCCCGCATCCAGCCATTCCCAAGAGGACCAGTTCGTCCTGGCCAAGCTCGGGGACATTGCTTCCATCAACCTCGAGCGGCTGTTGTTCAATCCCCCCGACGTATCTGGCTGGATCCCGCTCACAGGCGAGCTGTCGGCGACGCTTGGCTCGGCTTCGACAACGGCCACTGTGCGCATGCGTGCTGCGGAGACGTTGGTTCGCATTGTCCTGGAGGCGGCCAACGCCATCGCCGCGGAAACGGAAATCACCCGCAGCCGGATGCAGCTGCGCCTGCTCGAGGCACTGCGCGACGCGCTGCTACCACTGCAACGTCCGGACCGCACCGGCACCATCACCACGGCGGTTACCGACATTGACATCCACAAGGTCATCCTGGATGGCCTCAAGGGCTTGCTCGAAGACAGCGGTGAGGCCCTAATCAGCGGGTGGAACGTCGTCTTTGAAGTCATCGACAGTCTGTTTATGGAAGTTCGGCCGTCGGTGTCGGTTGCGTCGTCCGACGGCGACCTAATAGAAGGCACCCTGACCACCCGCTCCGTCCGCCTCATCAAGCCGTCCTTTGCCTCGCTGCAGCTCATCTGCTCCGATTTCCTGTCGGCCTTGCCCAACACCTGTTACCTGAACCTCGTCAGCACCCTCTACAAGTTCTGCTCCCAGGGCGATGACCTCAACGTGGCCCTCACCACCGTGACTTTCTATTGGGCCATCTCGGACTTTTTACACGGCCGCAGCAGCTCCATGTCGATTGCAGCGGCCATGGAGGGCGGCTCCAGCGATGACGCACTCGTCAAGCTCGCCAACGACACGAACCACCCGGGCTCAGGCGCGGCCCTTTGGATGCTTTTGTTGCTGCGCCTGACGGCTGTTACCACCGACCAGCGGTTGGAACTGAGAAACAGTAAGTGGCAGTCTCTCGAGTCTCTGACCCACAATACGTTGTCGCAAACTAACCCACTCAGGCGCCGTTCAAACTCTCCTCCGCATCATACATGCGTATGGCAACAACCTTACTGCCGAGGCATGGGCTGTGTGTATCCGTTCGGTCATTTTCCGACTCCTCTCAGCCACCGAGGGACGCCTGCGATCCGCGTCGGAAAAGACCACACACAAGTCCACACCGGTAGAGTGGTACGAGACGGCAGTCGTGATTGTCAACGGCGTGTCGGAGCTGCTGGCCAACTATCTGGACGTGCTCGCCTCTCACGCCGTCTTCTCGTCGCTCTGGGAAGATCTGCTCCAGCACTTTGCCGCCATGCTCGACTTCAGGGCGCTCGATGTCAACACGGCTGTCTTCGACAGCCTCGCCGGCATCCTCGCCAAGAGCGACGGGCGGACACGCTGGTCATTTGATAAGAAGGCTGTTGACCTGGCCTGGCAACTCTGGTCACGCGGTATCCCAGCGCCACCGGACGTGCTGTCTGCCGACAAGGATAAGAAGGACAAGGAGCGCGACCGCGCCAGCACAAGGGCTGAAGACAATCAAAAGTGCCTCGTGTCGTGGGTGAATGCCTTCCTTGAGATTGAGCGCCTCATGCGCGCTGAGATGGACCTCGCAAAGACAGAGCAGGCCATGGCCCTCCTCCACGACGCCGTCCGCATTGCTAGCCCGGGTGGCTATGCCAACGACATCGAATACATGACAGCCCTGCAGGCCCAGGTGCTCGAAGTCTTCAAGGTCGTACGGACCGACATTCCGGGCGCCGCGGCGGCCGTGATCATGCAACTGGCCAAGTTTGTGTCCATGGCCTTTGATGTGGCCGACATCACGCCGCCGCGCAAACGCACATTTGTGGCCATGTCCAAGGACAGCATGGCGATCCTGGACCATCTCGTCACACAACACGCAGACGGCCAGGAAATCTACGCCAGCGGCGCCTTTGCCGCAGCCCTCGCGGCCCTTGCCAAACCCATTACGCTCAAGTACCAGTTCCCCATCACCACCAAGAGCCTGCAGCCATGGAAGGCCGCCGTCAACGCCGCCCTTGCCATCTTGGAGACGGCGCTCCCGCACCTCAAGGAGAAGTCGGTGCCGCGTGCAGCCTTCCAGGAGGCCTGGGACACCATTGCGGTGATCGCGAACGGCATCATCGGTGCTGACTTGCAGCACGAGCAAGCGCCACGAGACGAACGTGTCATTGCCGACGATCAGCAGTTTGACATTGATGCTTTCCACCGCCTCCGCGAGCTTATCATTCCGTCGCTAGGCTCGGGTGCGGTGGCCGAAACGGCACGCAAAGCTTATGTCGAGGGTCTCTTCCACGTCTCCATTGTTCACCCTCCGGCGCCGGCCGAGGCAGCGTTGATCTACCCAAGCGACGGCGAGCACAGCCACAGCTACAGCCGAAAGCAAAGCAACGGTGACTCGGGTACTGCCAGCGATCTCAGCAGTCTCTACAAGCCCGGCCGGGGCCGCACCATTGATCCACCGCCCACCAAGCGTGCCAACATGAGCTTTGCCTGTCTCGACGAGCTGTTCTCGCTGGTGGCGGTGCACGATGACTCGCACAACAAGCCGTCGATTGTCGTGCTTCCACCAACGCCACGTCTGCCACCACCAATGACTGTCGGCCCGCCGCCTGGGTCTGGCGCGGCAGACGACAGCGAGCACGCCCTGCACATCCGCCTCGCCCAAACAGCCGCCCCGTTCCTTATCCTGCGATGTGCCCTGACCATCCGGTCGTACGTGTCAGACCAGCCCCTACGGGGCCACATGCCACAGCCACTGTCGCAGCGGCGCGAGCTGAGCCGGATCCTGCGGTGCCTTGTGGACCTCAAGTCGGAGCCTGGAGCCATTCCGGATCTCGATGGCATCGACAGCGAGGCACGTAAGCACCTGTTGCGGCTGTACCCCTTGCTCGTCAAGGCGTCACAGGTGGCGGGCACGGCCGGTGACGACAAGACGCTGGCACTGGTTGGCGAGGCCCTTGACGCGGTCGGGACGGAGTTGGGTGTGTGATTTCCAACTAGCGTAGTTCGTTATGGCTTTTGTTGCTATCTATTTCGTTTATTTTTATCGTCTTCCTGTCGGAGTAGCCAATACGGATTTGGATTACGGGCTTGGATAGACGGTGTTTTTATTTTTTTATTTTTTTGGTTCTGTAGCAACGTCTGTGACCGTTAATACTACGACATGGAAATATAATTCCTGTCCTCTTTAGTGTGCAAGGCGTTCTAGAAAACAGCTAGAGTCACGAGAGCGTTCTATTCTATTGTTTTATGATTATGTATTTCCCTGGTTCTGGTTTGCCATCATCCGCGAGACATAAGAAGAGATGGAAATAAACGCCATGCAATACACATCCGCCGGCACACAATCTGTCCCTACAACACATGTATAGTACACAATTTGATACAGACTCGGAAGGCAAGCCAAACCACTGCGACTCCGACGTGCTCTTACATACGCTGCACCACAACAGTCCCGTCCTGCCCCGTCCCCGTTTCGCTTTTCTTATTACCGGTCGGCCGTGTGCCGATCAAAGTCCTCGACAATGCGGTCGCGCACAAACTTGCTGCGCTCCGCAGGATCCAGGCCCTCCAGCTCGGCTGCGTCCTCGGCGTCGCGGTTCGCCACGGCCTCGCCCTCGAGCACGCCACCCTTCTCCAGCACCTGTTGAGCGGTGGCACGCGCGTTCGCCCCTGTGGCCTGGCCCACCTTGCCGTAGACGCCCAGCGCCGTGGCAATCAGGCCGGCCATGTCGCCGACGTTGCCCGGCACGACGACAGCCGTGCCCTCCTTGGCCAGCTTGCCAAAGGCATCGACATACTTCTCGGCCACCGACAGCGACACGGCGCTGTGGGCGGCGTCGCGGCCCTGGGCAATCTGGGCCGCCACCGAGGCAATGCCCTGGGCCGTGGCGGTGGCCTTGAGCAGGATGGCCTCGGCCTCGCCGGAGGCGCGGTTGATGTTCTCAGCACGCAGCGCCTCGGACGCCAAGATGACGCTCTGCTTCTTGCCCTCGGCGATGTTGATGGCGCTCTGACGCTGGCCCTCGGACTCGAGAATCTCTGCGCGCTTGGAGCGCTCGGCGGTGACTTGGCGGTGCATGGCCTCGACAACCGGGGCGGGGGCGTGGATGTCGCGGATCTCGTAGCGCAGGCAGGTGACGCCCCAGGCCTGGGCGGCCTCGTTGATAGCGGCGGTGATGTTAGTGTTGAGGGCGGCGCGCTCCTTGAGGACGTGGTCGAGGCTGAGCTGGCCAATCTCGCTGCGCATGGTCGTCTGGGCGAGCTGCGAAATGGCATACTCGGCATCCTCGACGCCATAACTGTTCGGTTAGCAAAGGCAAGGGAAAGGACGGTGGAAGGTGTTTGTAGGCAAAGACGGCATACCTAGCCTTGTATGCGTCAAAGACACGTGTGTAGAGAACACCGTCGAGCTCTAGCGTGACGTTGTCGGCGGTGATGGCGCTCTGGCTCGGAATCTCGAGAGCCACTTCCTTGAGCGACTTGACGTAGGCAATTCGGTCGAGGAACGGGATGAGAACGGCCAGGCCGGGCTGCAAGATGCGGTGGAACTTGCCCATGCGCTCGACGATCCAGGCCGTCTGCTGCGGCACAAAGCGGATAATCGTGTTGGCCGGCAGCGATGGCTTCTGGAAGTAGGCGGCCGGGATGCCCGAGGGCGCGCCGCCAAAGCCACCAATAGCGCTCAACAGGGGCGCCGACGAGGTGTTGATCGAGCGCTGTTGTGGTGGTGTAGGAGTTTTCGTGCCGGATGTGCTTTGTGCCGTAGAGCCACGCGCGGCTATTGTCGAGATGCTTCGTGGTACTGCAGTCGAGATCGAAGACGAAGTCAAGGAAGTGGAGGCAAACTGGAAGGCTGCAGGGCCACGGCGGAGGGCTGGCACCAGGGCCCGGCGCGTCATTGCCGTCGCCATTGTAATTCTGAATGGGATGTGAGTAGTCGGATCGCCAATCAGCCGCGCAGTAGAAGAGCTGGAGGCAACGTGTAGGTGGTGTGGTTGGGAGTCCGAAGTGGTGAAAAGCAGAGTGTGGTGACAAAACTAGACAGAAATGCTGAGCTCCGACGATTTGCTGGGTAGCTCTTTGTAGCTGGGGATGGAGTGAAAAAGGCACGCGGTCTCGCTTCGGCAGGCGGCAGAAAAAGGCAACGACACAATACGTCAATGGTCCGAAAAGTGGGTCTACCCTTAGAAATAAGACGGTGGAGAATATAGACTAAACTAGAACACAATCTCTTAACAATTGACGGTCGAATGGTCTAGTTGGTTATGACGGCGCCTTAACACGGCGCAGGTCCGCGGTTCGATCCCGTGTTCGATCATCTTTTTGTGCGTCTTTTCTCTGCCCGAGATCGGACGTGATTACTTTACAGTTATGTTTTTTTTATTATCGCCTTTGTCCCAAAACAGAAACAAATTCTTTTTATTTGAAAAAGGCAACCCAAACCACGTGCAATACCATAAGGCTCACATTTCAAGGCGTTCTCCAAGGCGTACTTTGAAGGTATTCACTGACGAAGTTCTTTGGCAAGCAGTCGCTCCTTCCTAGAGTACTTCATAACGCCCTCCTCAGCTACGAAAATACAGGTAAAGCAAGCAAGAACGAAACGGTCAAGGAGATTCATTTTATCTTTTCGATTTTAAGCAAATAGCACTTTGCCAGTGTTTTTTGTCTTTCATACAAGTAATCATTGACATTCAACCATCTCCCATCACGCACCAGCGCCGGTTACGGCCACCCTCACCATGGCGTCCTGGCAGCGCCTGCCGACCGAAATCAAGCTGGCCATCTGGGGCTCCGTGGCCAAAGATGCAGAGGACGACCGTCGCACACGGAAGCTGCAGCTCGACAAAAACCAGAAACCGGTCAGCCTCGCTCCCTTTGCCGCCGTTGCTCTGGACTGGCAATCGTTCTTTGAACAGGTCACCTTCCGCCGACTCTTCATCGAGGACGATCAGGTTGATCGATTTGCAGCCCTGGTCAAGGGCCCTCGCAAGAAGCAACGCTTAGGCTTCATTCAACACCTGCATTTCCACGGCCGTTTGGATGACTACGACTGCTCGCAGTGCAGTACGCTGCCCAGTACCGAGGCCCTGAAGCGGGACGACGAGCGGCTCGTGGTCGCCTTGTCAGCGTTGATAGCGGTACTCGCCACGTGGGACGACACGCCCACCGGCCAGGACCGACAGGACCGACAGGACAGACACGGTGGTCTGGGAGGGCAAGGACCAGCCGGACTGACCTTGGAGCTGAGCTCGTCCTCGTGGAGCGACCCATACCATACAATCCGCAACTTTCGACACTACCGCGAGTACCCGTATGACGCAGTCGAGGACATGGACGAGACCTGCACCGCGTACGATCGGTACCGGGTCCGCGAGCGTGATTTTCCAAATAATACCCACGGGTGGGAAGCGGGTGTCTGGAGACAGCGCCTCGCTGGTGCCGCTTCCGCCATCGGCCGCGTTCTGGGAGGCGAACCTCTCGGCCATGCCATGCAGCTTGCCCGCCCAATACAAGCAGGGGTCGCGAACCAGCTCGACAACTCACAAGTCGCCGAAATTGGGGACGTGGACGTTGCCCCGGTCAAGATTGTCCACACGCTCATGATGCGTCGTCGGTTTTACCGTAGCATCGACCAGAGGCTCTTCCAGACGCTTGTGTCTTGTACCTCCAACGGGCTCGACGGGGCGCACATGGAGGTGTGGGAGCCAGAAAGCATCGGACGTACGTGTAACTACTTTGTGGCTGTGGTGACTGAGGTGGAATGGAGAATCGAGTGGTGAAACTCCAAAGCTAACACATAGGTCCCGTGGCGGTGAAGCCATTCTCGAATGTGGGTGGGGGTCCGGCCTCCGCAGCCTGTCTGTGTATATGGATATCAATGTGTATCTGACGTGGAGGCAGTTTCACCATCCGTACGGACCGGTTCTGCCGAAGGCTTCCACGGATGTTCAGAAGATTGTTCGCTCAACACGGCTCCGGGAACATGTCGCATTGTCGTACGTGCTGGACGCCACGACCATTTTTGAAAGTGCCAAGACGCAGTTGCAGGCGGCCAAGGACACAGCAACGGACCAGACATCGCAGATCACCGGTGCCTTTTGGCCTCGCATCACTACCCTCGCACTTACCGACATTTGCCTGGCGCCCAACCAGCCAGTTGAATATGGGTCGCGTGCTGTTCGATTGGCAGCCGAAATGATCACGCATATGCCAGCTCTGGAGATCCTAGAACTGTGGTATGGCAACAAAGAGCATGGCTGTCTGTTCCGTTTTGAGTCTACGCGGCGGTCGGCGGCAGCACGCCCTGTCATCACGATACTAACAACGTGGGACGCCCAACCGGCGTGGTGGACGCCCGAATTGGAATCCCTGTGGGCAGAATCGGCAGCACTGTTGTCGCCGTATCCGCTTCGTGTTGAGCACCGCGTCTTGCCAGAGATGTTGTCTCCCACAAACAACCGCCTCGCACCGTATATGCGCGTCATAGGGAATCTTGTCTTGCGCGATCGCGTGATCGATCCGGTGTCACTGTATGACATGGTACAAGACCCGACATATGCAGTTTCTTGGCCAGAGTGAGCCGCCTCGGTGTCGTGGATGAGTGACGGATTCTCAATATATGACTAAATTTATGATCTTTACATATATGCAGGCATTGACTTGCGAAATGACATGTCGGGTAATTTAAAAAAAAAAAAAAAAAAAAAAAAAAAAGAAGAAGAAGAAGAAGGGCGGACACATGCAGTTACAGTCAAAAATAGAAAAGTAGAGCGCAATTTGGTAATGTATATGAACAAATTATACGAGCAGACGATACAGAGAACAGAGAACACCTTGACAATCGCTAACGTCGCACGCCTAAGAAGAAAAGTCACTACAGAGCTAGCATCGCTCGGGCCAGGCGGCTACAGACCGAGATGCTTGTTGAACCAAGCTATGCACTGCTCCTCAGCGGCCAACGCCTGCTTAGCGACGTCGTTGAGGGACGTGTCGGCGCGCACACAGAAGCCGTGGCCAGCGTCCTTGTAGACCACCACCTCGCCGGTGGCGGGCGCCGGCTTGGCCTCGACAATCTTGCGGATCTCATCGACCGCGTCCTTGGGCAGGTTAGAGTCGAGTTCGCCCACGGCAAAGGCCACGGGCACCGTCATGGTGTCGGCGACGTCGGCAGGCACCTCCACGAAGCTGGGGTGGCCGACGAAGCCAACGTTGAGGAGCGGTGTGGGCTTTCCGTCAATGTCGACCGTGACGTTGTGCGACATGAGCAGGACGTGCTTGCCGCCCCAGCAGAACCCGGCGGCGGCAATCTTGGCGTCCGGGCCCTCGGCGATGCGCAGCGCTTCGAAGAAGGCCTTGACGCGCGGATAGGACTTGCCGATGCGGTTGGTCATGATGAAGGGCATCATGGCGGGCAAGGCGCGGGCGATGTGAATTGGTTTCATAAGGGCGCTGCTGTTCATGGCGGAGCGCATGGTGGGAATGACCGACGCAGAGGCGGCCTTGCCCAGCATGAACTCGGGCAGATAGACTTTGTAGTCGCCGCGGTCGGCGTAGTGGTCGGCCAGCAGGCGGTTGTTGACAAACTCCCAGCCAAAGGCGTCCGGGATGATGACGATGATGGCCTTCGGGGTGCGGCCATCGGCCGGGCCAACAGAGTAGGCGTCAAGGCCGTGCAGCTTGACGATTTCGCCGCGGGGCTTGCCCTCGTGGACGGAGCCGGAGAAACAGTCAGGGCAAGACATTCTGGTTTTTGGTGGTGCTGGTGATGCCGGTTGCTGTTTAGAGGGTTGTATGGGGGGAGAGGGAGCGGTCGACGTTGTTCTGTTTTCTTGAACCAGATATGGCAAGTGTGTCTGCGCCAAGATATACCCAAATTTGAAGCTTTGAAAGACAAGATTTTACTGTGCAAAGAGACAGAGAGAGAAATAGAGAGACAGAGAATATATATAAAACAAATCCAGCCACATGCAAAAAAAGGACATCGACAGATGTGCAAATGCAGCCAAACTTATACAGCCGCACACCGCGCTATGAAGTTGCCAAGCTCAAACACAAAGTTCCAATTCCGACTGAATCAGGCCACCTGCTGGTCCACTCTCCCACTGTTTTTTCACCCTTTTTCTTAACGTTTCTTAATTTGGTTTCCTTTTTCCTCTCCTCTCGTCATGACCCATTTGTTGGACACAGAGTCGGTGATAATCCAGCTTGGCCAACGGGATAAAGCGTCCGGATTTAAAGAAGGCCGATGCAGAGTGGGGGTGTCGGCTTTGCGTTTGGAGCTTGGCACTTGTCCCGTAGCCGTTGGCCTGGACATGCCTGTAGTGACTTTACTAGGCCGGCCTCTGTTCCTCTGTCTGGCTTGACCTGGACGAATTGCGCTAGACGTGCGGTTGCGCTGGTGGTTGCGTCGTCATCTCTTCTCTAAACTGTGGCAGCTGCACATGTGGTCTCTCGTCAACCACGGCACGCTGGGATTGAATTTGTTGGCATTGTTGTCGTCGAGCTCGGGCTCCGTGCTGCTGAAATAAAATAGTGAAGGAGACAATGCCAACATCCCCCATGGGACAGTCGCCTCGCCGCCTACAACGACTTTTCAATCGCGGCCACGTCAGCCATCAACTCCCGGCAACGTGCCTTTTCCGCGTCTGATGGCTCCAGATACGGCCGGCGCGGCCGCAGCTTGGCCTCGGCGTCCTGGATGCCGGCCAGCGGGGCGGTGAAGTGGCTGGCGGCGTACTTTGTGGTGGCAATGCCGCTTTTGCAGGGCCGCTCGGCGAGGGCAGCCTTGTGCTGAAGGGCGAGGGCGGCCGCGCGGTCGGCTTCGCGCGCATCGGCGGTTCGCGCGTCCTTTGTTTCGGGCGCACCCGTGGCCGACGCCTTGGCCGAGATGCCTGTCCACTGCTCGTAGATGCGCACAACTGTTTTCGGGAAGACGTTGCCAAAGGCCGTGATGCAGCCGCCGCTGCCCGACGCCAGCCCCCCGACCAGGAAATCGGCCTGGCCGCCATAGACGGTAAACTGCGCCGGCGTCAGCTCGGCGGCCAGCCGCGTCACCTTGGCCACGGACCCGCAGGTCAGCTTGACGCCCACGACAACGCCCGGGTGACGACGGGCCAGGTCGGCAATGGCATCCGAGTCGAGGTCGACACCGGCCGTCAGCCCGGGGAAATTGTAGATGACCAGTGGCAGCGGCGTCTTGGCGGCCACCTCGTCGAAGAAGCGGGCCAGCATGGCCGGCGAGCTGGCCTTGGCTCCAAAGTAGGCCGGCGGCAGCAGCAGGCCGTAGTTGGCTCCGGCAGCGTACGCGTCCTCGAGAAACTCGAGCACCTGGGCCGTGCTGTGCCCACTGACGCCCGCCATAATGGGAAAGTCCGGTCCCACGGCGGCGCGGGCCGTCTGCAGCGTGGCGCGGCGCTCATCGCGGGTGAGCAGAAAGGTCTCGGCGTTGGAGCCCAAGACGACCAGACCGGTGATGCCGGTGGAGGCGAGGTGGGCAAAGTAGCGGGCCTGGTCGTTGGCAAGCAGTCGGTCGGTATCCGGTTCGAAGAGCGTGACGGCAGGGACCCAGACGCCGGGCGGCGGGACGGCAAACGGGCGAGACATGGCAGCTGTGGTGGTGAGAGGCGCGACGCAAACAACGACGGTAATGAGATTCACGACTATACGACTACACGACTACAAAGTAATAGATCTATGGGAGGAGGGGGCGGCCGTTTATCTACGGTTTCGGTGTTGCGGTCGCTCTTGCCGTTGCCCTGTCATGCGTGCCGTTATGCTCCTTCCCCCTTCATTCGCGCCATTGCCTGCCGAGATCGGCTTAGGCGCGGCGCTGACGGGGCACTGTCAAGCGCTGTTTTTCCAGTGGAAGTGCCGCCTCGGCGGTGTTTCAGCAGCTGGTCGAGACGACAACCCGATCGGAGAATACAGACAGCGAGGAGACAGTGAGGAGACAGTTATCCGTGGAGATGGGGGAAAGGAGGCATTGAAGACAATGGGCAGAGTGCATGCCGTCGCTAACCGTGATACGAAGTCGAAGCAGGGCGTTGGCGACGGGAATTGTCCGATAATAAGTACTTTACAGTGAGTGGGCACCTTTGTAAAAACGCAAAACGCCGACGGATAAAAGGGTCCATGGATCAGGGCAGCAGAGCGTGGGGGCCATTTTAAGGCGGTAGGTGATGTCCTGAGGGGCTTCCGTTCAGGGACCACAGGCCAGGCCGCAACTGTGCAGGATCTCATCACAGTGAACGCTGGTCCGCTGAAGACGCTAAACTCGGGAACAACCCGCAATCAATTGCATTGTCCAGGTGGGTTGGCTGCCTCATTGGAAGCAGAAATGCACAATATCCGAAATCAATAACAGATGCCACAGTCACAATAACCACAACCCACCAGAGGCGAACCACAGCCACGGTACCATATACAATACGTCGTACAACTGCGCGAGTTCATGTAGATACGCCTCTAATATTGGCGTCCATCTCCTCCTGGCCATTAACAGCGGTATAGAATGCACCGTGAGTCGTCGGATTCCTTTTTTGAAAATATTCAGTCCCACGTCACAGCACAACCACTCGAAATTCTGTGCTCCACCCCTTCCCCCCCCTCTCCTCCGTCGTGAGATGTCTGCGTGTTTCCACCGTCCTGACCATGACACGTTGTCTCCCACCTTGCATGTGTTGCCTGCTTCGCAAATGCTGACCACTCAACCTGCAGCTGTGCCCACACTCTATCCATTTCTTGCTCATCCGTTCGCCATTCACACATCTCCACCATGCATCCGACCCAGCATTGCCTAGCCAAAACAAGCAGAAGGCACCCCAAACATCCTGGACAGTGACATCGGGCTACCCCTCGTTCCATTTATGGCTACTTGTGAGATGCAGTTCTGCAACTGTGGCAGTGAATAGTCCTTTGGTTTACTATGCAGTACCCGTTACCGTCAGGTGGTCTCTGGTGTCCTCTCGGAAGTGTCTTTGTGTCTTTTGCGTTCGTAATTCAGTCACATTTTATGCGGGCGGGGATGCAATGGCGTCAAGAGGACATGACAGAAGGGGAGAAGCGAGACGAAGGGAACGAAGAGTATTCTTGAAAGATCTCTACCCATCTCGTTAACAGTCGTCGCCGTCTCGATCCGCATTCTCTCGTCTCTCTTGACTTCCCTCGTCTCCGTCCCAAGACTCTTCTCCGCTCCGAGCCTTTCTCTCGTCCGTCCCTTGTCTGTGAGCTAGTCCTCCAAGCTCCAGCTGCCTGATTGTTAGCCTCTCACTCTTTCTCTGCACACAATCTCTCCCCACCAGCCCCTCGTCATGGGTTCTGCCGAACCTCGCTCGCCCCATGTGCTGATCATCGGCGCCGGCATGGGCGGCCTGTTTTTTGCGCAGTTCCTCCGCAAAAAGGGCATTTCGTTTAGTATTTTCGAGCGCGATGCCAGCCTCACTGCCCGCAAACCGGGCTGGGCCATTGGCCTGTCCATGAACGACGACTTTGCCAGCTTCATGCCCGACGACGTGCCCAGTCTGCGCGACGCCAACCATCTGCTGCCGCTCGACCTGCCGTCACAGGTCGTCCTGTTCCCG